TATTACTCAGTAGACCAACCTGAAGTAAGGTAAGTACGGGTTCGAAACTTCGCACCAACATATACAGAAATCAATTTCCAACGAGGTTTATAAAAGAAAAGGTGACAACTACTTCAATATTGAAACCCTACTCACAAAGAGTTTAACTGGACAGAAAACATGCTACGTTTTGACATAATGAAGCTTCATTCACACATCTATAGAACACAAAATCCAATTGAGCCAGCCAGAAAAGGAATATCCCCTTTTCGATAAATTCCTCCTCCTCCTCCTCTTCTCGCTCTACAATTATATCTATATATGCATGCATGTTTATATACATAGAATATTCTAGATTAGTAGTAGTAGTCAATAACAATATTAGTGTGCTTTTCAAATAATATCGATTTGTACAGTAAGATCACAATGGAATCACCACCACAGTTCATTAAAGATGCTGAAATTACAATAATAATAATAATAAAGATATAGTAGGAAATAGAATATCAACTAAAATTAGGAAAATTCCACAACAAATTCAGGATCATTCAAAACAGGATGGATGATCAAGCGGGTAAGGATAATTAATGTCAGAACCAACCAACTTCTTTTCGATGCACAAATTAGGTTTGTTAATATGGATCCCAACACGGCCAGTCAGTCAGCCTCAGAAATATTTAGTAGTAGGTGAACTCTTAAGACGAAATTGAGATTCGTTGGTTGGTATGCGGTAAGTAAATGACCCTGAAAGCCGCCGCCTTGTGTTCTCTTGAGTGAGATAGAATAGAGGTATGTGAATATATTTGTCTGTCCTTTACTTAACCAACCAACCAACCACTGTGCAGGATGATGTTCATAAAAATTCGACGAGAAACACGCCTAATTGTGTACGGCCTATGCAAGTAACTGGCCGTAAAATAAGCCTAGCTGAAATAATAAGGATACTAAAAGTCAATGGTTGACTACATGATATCCAGGTATGGACCAAAGGACTACTAACAAGTCCGCTCCGTCCTACTCTATGGCCAGCTGTGGGTGAGACCTCGCCATTGACAGTGGAAGACATGAAAAGATTAGCTGTCTTTGATCATAGGTGCCTGCGTTCTATCTCCTGTGTGAAGTGGTACAATAAGGTAACCAATATTAAGGTTAGGCGTCGGTCGAGTGTTGGGCAAGCAGGAAGGCAAGTTAATCGACGAGGCTGTAAAATTACATCGACTGAGATGGTTAGGACATGTGTTACGCATGTGTTATGCCTAGTCATTGCCATCCTCGACAATGGGAAATGTTAGCTGGCTGACATAGGATTGGTCAGGCTGGAAAACAGCTAGCTAGCGGTGGTCAAACCAAAACATGGCTTCATCATCAGTCAATGAAGAAATCCACAACAGTTAGTTTAAGCCAACCAACCAGTCAGCCAGCCAGCCAGCCACGTAGGAAAGTGTAGACTGGCTTCCTGACTGGTTGGGGTCCTCGGGATGACGGTAAAAACTAATGAAGGCTGCAGACAATAGGTGATGATGATATAGCACAAAATCGTTATCAGTGGCTAGTGCAGATGCATCCCCTCCTTGTGACCAATAATACCCAATAAAACTATTGCTTTTGTCTCTTAACCTTGTCTATTGTCTCTATTTTGCCTTCTTCTTTCTTCTCTCGCTTTGTATGGTACATTGAGAGAGTGTGGCGACTAGAACTGGTGCACATCGGTGCAGAGTTCTATGTCGAAAACAGACAGACAGACAATGGTTGAAGACTTTCCAACTAACGATAAAGCCATTATGATTTCTAAGCAAATCCGAGTTAATTCCACTGAAGAAGCTGTGGTTTCTACACACAGTGGACTGCTCAAAGTAGTAGTAGTCTTTTGTTTCGGATTCTCCAAAAACACATGGGAATGGTTTTATTTTTTATTATTGAATTCTTTTAAAATAATTTTATGATCCCAGTCAATATATATGAGATATTTTGACTGTATGATTTTATCAAAAAATAAAATTTAAAAAAAAATTATTCATAATGGAGTTATACTACTCTAACCTCAAACAGTGGCCAATTTTTATCCTTCTTATAATAATATCAATGTTTTTGATTTGTGTGAGTTTTTATATCATTGCCAATAATAATAATAGTAGTATTTATTTAATTATTGATTTATTTAAAGCAATTACTGAGCACTGCTCCAAGGAACACTTCATACGGAATAAACCGAAAATACATTTCGATGGAAAATCAATAGTACAAAGATTGGATGAGGAACTACAAAACAACTGGAACAATCCTAAAAGTTATAACTGTGTTTTCGCATCTCTGTTTCAATTATCGTTAACTATATTTTTCTATCCAATAGTTAAATAAATAGTAGTAGTAGTAATAGTAGTGTTTTTATGCATATGAGAATTCTGTAAAATTCTATCCTATCTCACTGTCTGCCTGTCTGTCTGTTTTCGACAGATAGAAATTTGTATTGATGTGCACCAGTTCCAGTCGCCACACTCCCTCCATCTAGCTAGCACACAAACCAAGAGAAGAAAGTAAAAGAAATGCATAATAGAGAGACAGTAAACACAGGTGTGAGACAACAAGGAAATAGTAATAACGAACGAAGAACAATATAGTTTTATTGGGTACTATAAGTCACAAGGAGTGGATGCATCTACACCAGCCAGTCATTGAGAACGATCACTTTGACCAGCCATATCATCACCAATGGTTTCCAAACTTCATTGGTTTTTACCGTCATCCCAACGATCTCAACAGTCAGGAAGCCAGTCTACACTTTCCTACGTGGCTGGCTGGCTGACTGGTTGGCTTAAACTAACTGTTGTGGATTTCTTCATTGACTGATGATGAAGCCATGTTTTGGTTTGACCGCCGCTAGCTACCTGTTTTCCAGCCTGACCAATCCTATGTCAGCCAGCTAACATTTCCCATTATCGAGGATGGCAATGACTAGGCATAACACATGCGTAACACATGTCCTAACCATCTCAGTCGATGTAATTTCACAGCCTCGTCGATTAACTTGCCTTCCTGCTTGCCTAACACTCGACTGACGCCTAACCTCAATATAGGTCACCTTATTGTACCACTTCACACGGGAGATAGAACGCAGGCACCTATGATCAAAGACAGCTAATCTTTTCATGTCTTCCACTGTCAATGGCGAGGTCTCACTCACAGCTGGCCATAGAGTAGGACGGAGTGGACTGGTTAGTAGTACACCCACCCTTTGGTTGACAGCCAGTCAGTCAGTCAGCCGGATATCACGTCTAGTAAGCCAGAGACGGCATCAACTGGCGGGCATATGCGAAACTAACCCCGTGTATCTGTACTCAGCTGAGATTTCGTCAGAGATCAACCCGTTGGCGTTGGCTGATGGTACTTTCCAGATAAGTGAAGCGGTCAACGCGCTCCACCACCAACCACTTCAGTCCAGATTTCTAAACTAGGAGTTAGTGTAGTAGTCCAGTCAGTCCCGTAACATCATTTTACATTTGACAGCAGTGGGAGCGAATCGGATGCCAACTATTCGCAGATTTCTGCTCCTTAAGGTGTTCAGAAGACTCTGCATTCTATCCTACGAAAAGCAAGCCAAAGTGACGTTGAGATCAGCATACTAGTTTTGGTAGTTGCGGATGCGGGAACTTAATCTCTGATCCGCACATATAGTATGACATGAAGCAGTTCCGAAACCTCAATGAACCACACCTGCAGTACTTTAAATATACTCAAAATGAGATATAAACAGAAATAAATGTAAGTCGAAGGGATTTTAATTACTGCGTGAGGATAGGAACCAACCCTAATGTTTTCGCATCTAGTAAAGCAAACGCCAGAATATATATATATATATATATATATATATATATATATATATTGAAAATGTTCAAAAGCGTCGGTGGCATAGCGGTTGAGACTCTCGCCGACCATGCCTCACATGGTCTGGGGTTCGACCCCAGGCTGATGCCGCACTCCTCTACCTCGATAAGCAAGAAATAAAACTGGTAAAGAGGAAAGGTTGATCATGAGGCTAGCAACGCCATCCTGTAAAAATAAACACCGCTACAGAAACTTCAAGCTTCTAGCTTGAAGCCCTATGTTCCACTAAGAATGTGAAGGAATAAAAAAAAGGGTGTAAAAAACCAATCGATAAAACACTTTGAAATAAACAACCAAATGTAACATCTGATATGATTACGGCATACTTGTAGGCATATCACAGGAAAGAAAACTATCTGAGGAAGTGTTCAAACCGCAACTGACTCACTCTACAGGAGCAGTTAAATTGGCAGATACACACACATGGAAGAGGAGGCGAAATTAGGCTCAGGTGTTGACATGTCTTTGGGTTTCTTGTGCGCAGATGCTTCGACGACGATGTCTGGGCATGTAATTAGAAGCTAATTAATCGGTGGATGGTGACTAACCGTGGAATCCAGTCCAGGATAACGCGCATTTCTTCCGTCCTATTTAGGACTCGTCCACCTGCTGGATGTACCTGCATTCCCCAGTGAGTCAGTAATGATGTTCACTGCACCGAGGCTCGAACCCAGCCGTTATGTCACCCTGAGACAGAGCACTTAGGTCAAATCAATCGACGCGAAAATCTAAAACTAAATTAATATGACCCATGGCCCAAGTGGTGTAGTGGCGTTTGAAACTGTGGGCACTGGGTTCGAGACTCCGTGGTGGGAACATCATCACTGACGCACTGGGGAATGCAGGTACATCCAGCCAACTGACCACGAGTCCCAAATAGGACGGACGAAATGCGCGTTATCCGGGACTGGATTCCACTGCTAGTCACCATCCACCAATTAATTAGCTTCTACTTACATGCCCAAGCATCTGCGCAGAAGAAGCCCACAGACATGTCAACACCTGAGACCAAGCACTTCGGTCGGTCCAATCAATCAATCGACGGGAAAAAAATCTAAAATTCAATTAAATATATAGAATAAATTACATGAAGTGAATAATTAAAGACAATAAGAAAGCGTCTAAAGCACTTGACTTACCAGGATTACTGACCACATGATAGCATAGCGCATGCATTAAACATAAACTTTCCCATTCAATGAGTATATTATGCACAACGATAATAAAGTGTTCCAGTCTTGAAACCGTCCATTCAGCTGTTTGATGACGTATATATTTTGAAGATTTGGATTTACGATTAGCTGCATTATTCAAATGTGGTTGAATCCCGGTGAACAGAATATCCAACTGCCAACTACGACGATGTGTAAATGGATCGAAATATGGACGAAGTACAATTTCATGAACATAATTCATCAGTGGGATAATACCCCCACCTGTCGGATACCAACTAGGTGGATTGAAAGGTATGCTGTAAAAAAACGGGAAATAGAAAATGGAATCGAATCGAAATATGTTGATGAGACCATCATCAGGTTCCATTAAAGTGACAGGTGATCGAGTGAAAGAAACACCAATAATAGGAGACAATGACACAGAGAAGACTAATTGAGTTAGAAACGACAGTTTGTAGGGCAGTTGATGATGATGCCAGTGGAAACTGATGGTACGGGATCGAGTACAATGGGGATGTGCTGATGGAGTCCTATGCGTCGGTGGCACAGTGGTTAGGACTCTCGCCGAACATGCACATGGTCCGAGGTTCGATCCCCTGCCGACGCACATCTGATATCTATGGTCGGCCTGAGAAATTTGGGCAACCGATATCCATGCTGATATCCATGCCCCCCTCCCCCGACAAAATGCTAAGAACGAACTCTGATAGTAATATAAGATACTGAGGCTATAATAAGATACTCTTGGGTCTGACCAGTAATTAACAACCTGTTCCTCCACTTACAAAACAGGTGAGCATCAGCGAGCACCGAGATTCTAGACACCAAGAGAAACGAACAAAGCCCCTAAAACCAAGAAGACCAAACGAACTTCAGTCGAAAGTGTTTGACGGGGGGACGAGTGTGGTGAGAGTCATAATGTCCTCACCGTGGCCCAAGTGGTCTAGTGGATAACGCTTTGGCGTTTGAAACTATGGGTAGTGAGTTCGAGACTCGGTGGGAACATCAGCACTCACTGAGAAATGCAGGTACATCCAGCTGACGAGTCCCAAATAGAACGAAATGCGCATCCTGGATTTCAGTGCTAGTCACCATCCACCAATTAAATACTAACTAAATGCCCAGACATCGTCGAAGCATCTACACAAGAAGCTGGCATGTCAACCTGAGACGGAGCACTTCGGTCCAATCAATCGACAGAAAAATCCCAAATTCAATTAAATTAGATAAAATCTGACCTTGGAAAAACAGCCACAAAGAGATGCAAGGTTAACTAACTTTCAGTGAGAAACAACCACCAATCAGAAGACTATGGTGTTTGTTTGCTAACAATAATCTATAATAATGTACATGAATATCTATAAATATGTGTTGATTTCCTTAATAAAACGGTTTATTGCCTGGCGATTGTCTCCTGTCGTTACAGTAATTCGACAAGAATGCTAAAAAAAAGGAAGTGAAAAGTAAAAAAATCGTGCATATTATCGTCTCATTTTTCTTCTTCCCAGTAGACTTGGTGCTATAAAATATCATATCTTTGAAACAGATAAAAGAGATTTTCTAAAATCGACTTCAACAACTTTGACTGAAATTTTAGTACTGTACACTTAGAAAAGACACTGTCACTATATCACAGAGTCACAATCGATATACACACAGAACCTCTTTCGACTGAGATTACTGTCACTGACTGATTAACAATAAAAACCACAACAATACACTGCAGAAAGAGGGGGAATGAATCAATGCCAGTTGGTAAACTTCGAGAAAGCATGGAAAAAAGTGGAGGAAAGAAGAATATATATAATGTAAAATGAAATAGATGAAGATGTATGGGCGTAATGAGAAAGACGAAAGAAGAAATAAATGAGAAAATTAGTGAGAATTTTCGCGTCGGTGGCACAGCGGTTAGAATGCTCGCCGACCATGCCTCACATGGTCCGGGGTTCGATCCCCGACAGACTCACTCCTTTACCTCGCTAAGCCAGAAATAATGCTGGTAAAGAGGGAAGGTTGATCATGAGGCTAGCAACGCCATCCTGTAAAAATAAACACTGCTACAGAAACTTCAAGCCACGAGCTTGAAGGTGCCCTATGTTCCACTGGGAACGTGACGGAAAAAAGGCGAGAATCTTCAGAATATCATTCATATTCAGGTGTGGGTTTGTAGGGATTTAATTGGTTACAGGATTGCATCATGAGCTGACATTGGTTAGAGAATCATTGGAAAACCAACCAGGCAGAGAGTACTGCCAGACAGCTGTCCCCCCCTCATCCTAGTTTGGGACCGGCTCTATTCAGCAGTACGCATCCACCCCACCCACTGGCGTTTGAACCCAGGGCTTTCTGGTTATAAGACTAGCTAGCTCGCTACGTAGACCATTCACACTCACTCCCTGGGACACACGATCCAATGGCCAGTTCAGCCTATGAATTCTTACTTCTGCCAGTTCACGATATACATAGAGCGCATAGTGACACAGCCAATGTCTTCGGCGAGTATTTGTCCGCACACACCCGACTGGCTGCACCCTACTACTTGTCATGACTCCTCACTAGAACCCCCTCCCCTGAATAGGGCCAGTCGCTAGTGAGCATCTCGTCGATATCCACCAAAAATATTACTCTCTCCCTCTTTCTCCATTAATTTTTATGAGTACACTCCTTTGTAAAAGATAATTTCAAGTACTGTCTGTCTGTCTGTCTGGATTCAACATAGAACTTGACACCGAAGTGCACCAGTTCGAGTTGCCACGTTCCAAATAGCACACAGAGGTAGACAAGAAGATGAGTGGAGAGAATCAATAGAGTTTGACAAGTATAAGAGTGAAACAGAATGGGTAATGGTAGAAAGAAATATGAAAGATTACAGAGACTGAATACATCTGCGCTGGCCATTGACAACGATTTTGAGCCATGTCACCTATTGTCTCCAGCCATTGATTCCTAAAGTCCCGAGGGCCCCAACCCGGGAGTCTCCATCTCCCTACCTGACTCAGCTTAACTGTCAAGGATTTCATGGATTGATGAGGCCATGTTATGTTTGGCCACCACTTACTCTTCTCCAACCTGCACCTATATCAACTAGTAATGCCCGTCGGGGGAGGCGGTGGTTAGGCATGCGCACCACGTCACCCAGCCATCTTAGTCTATGTAACTTTATAGCCTCGTCGATTGATTTTCCCTCTTCGCCCAACACTCTACGCCTAACGTCAACATTACTTACCTTAGTATACCACCTAACGTGAGACAGAGATCGCAGACATCTATGATCGAAACCAGTCAACCTTTTCATGTCTTCAACTCGTGATGGCCATGTTTCAGAGCCATAGACAAGGACGGAGGGAACTGGTGAGCAGTATACACGTCCCTTGGTCGATAACCGGATGTCACGCCTACGCCAGATATGGTGTAAGTCAGCGAAAGCAGCTCGAGTTTTTGGATCTGTGCTGAGATTTCGTCGCCAATCAGTCCGTTGGTGCTAATACAACTTCCCAAATAGGTGAAGTGGCCAACATGTTCTATCACTTCACTCCCTATCACTAAGCAGGAGTTGACGTGGTCCAGTCCTGTAGCAGCATCTTACATTTTACAGGGGCGAATCGCATGCCAAACATACGAAGATTGCTGCTCAAGGTGTTCAGAAGACTCTGCATTTTGTCAGCATCCCCCCTAACAGGACTATGTCATCTGCATATTCTAAGTCCATAAGACTATTCCCTGGTAACAAGTCGATTACTAAGTCGTTACGTTCAGTTAAGGATGCTTCCATCAGCATATCTATGATGAAGTTGAACAGAAATGGGGAAAGTGGACATCCCTGTCGGACACCACTGGTTGTTATCAATTCAGATGACAATTCCCTATAAGCCCTTACACGACTACGTGAGTTTGAATAGAGTGCCTTGATTAGTGCAATGTACTTTCTTGGCACTCCCTTCACAGTCAGACATTGCCATAGTACCTTTCGATCACGGAGTCGAAGGCCCCTTCAAGTCAAGAAATATGACAATTGTTGGACCCGAAAAGTGTGTACACGTTTTCATTTAATTTTTCAAATATCAACTTGATACTTAAGTGGGGTGGCTGCAAAACAAAAAAGCAAGTAACTCAAACACTCCCATAAACAACCAATTGAGATTTCCTTTGTTATAATATGCATATCCCCCAATTTTAATGTTGGAGAGCTCTTTTTGCTTGGTGTAAAATACGAATTCCTACACGTTTTCGGTTAGTATTATTATTAGAGTACCACAACAATCGTTTTGAGAATTAAACAATGAGACACTTTGTCTATTTAAATGCAAAATAATAATAATAATCTACTAAGGTAAGTAATACTACTTTATTACTTTACTTCGGCTATCTCCTACGGAAGGATGAGCCGGCCTCATGAATATCTCGAATCATCGCTGCCCAGGCGCGGCGATCTGATGCAAGGTTTTGCGACAGGGTTATCCAATTCTTGTTCCACAGACGACGAAGTCCGTAGACGGTTTGTAGCCCCAGCCCAGGCACTCCATATCAGCCTTGACTGACTGTAACAAGCCATGTTTTCAGCTGTCCACCCCTGCGACATCGCCAAGATGGAAATGGCGAGGGATTTACAACTAATTTGACCAGATCGTCATCTGGTCGGCTCACAACATGGCCAAACCACCGAAGGCGACGTTGTTCCACCAGTACTGGAATTTGGTTGATGTTGTTTGTAAGAGAGTTCATCAAGTTTCATGGAATTAGGTACGAGTGATGTCCCCACCATCGCTCGGCCTTTTGTTTCAGAGTGCAGCTCTAGCCTTTACACAACCAAGTGTGACCTACAAGGCAGTAGGAGTGGAGTAGGGAGTCCACTATCCATTGTCACCCGGTCACCGGAGTCCGGTTCATACGCCGTTTTCAATGGGGCCAGAAATCCAGGGAATCCAATAAGCCCTTTGTCCATACGTCTGCCGGTGAGCTTCATACGCCAGTCGTTGGAGGTTTGGAATCAGGGTCTAGCCATCTCCCCTAGACTGTCATCCAATGGACAGTCAACCCGGTGAAGAGCGCCGGTCATCCGCTTTTGCCCTCTCACTTCGGTGAAAAACACCTCCGCCACGTGAAGGCAAAGAGTAGGACTTCCTCTGGGGAGGCTATGTAAGACGCCCGGTCTTATGGGAGCAGGTAAGTAATACCTGTGTGCATGAATGAAGTACAACACAACAGACAGACTGACCTGGTTATTGCAATTGTAGGTAAACAGCCTGACCCATCATAATGTATCCCAGTGTGTTCGATTCCTGCACACGAAAGCTAAATTGAGATATGGAAGAATAAAATTTCAAAAAAAATAAATTTAAAAAACACACCGAAAGTTAAATGACTTAGTCAAACGACAAAATTGTTATATATAAACACAAAATCCAATTGAGACAGAGCCAAGAATAAATATCCTTTTCGATAAATTCCTACTCTTCTTGTTAAGAAAAGGACGCAAAAAAAATCTATTCACATAGCGCTACATTCTGTCTCACTCATTTTCTTCTGGATATAGAACACACACAAGACTGATTGATGATAGTGCGTCGGGGCACAGTGGATAGGAGGACTTTCGCCGACCATGCGCACATGGTCCGAGGTTCAATCAGCCCTGCCGACGCGCACATCTGATATCAATGCGGTCGGCCTGCAAAATTTGGGCTACCGATATCACATGCTGAAAAAAATTCCATACTTGTACCGAAAATACAGTGTAGAATCAAGCTATAATGAAAAAAATATGTTAACCAGGCGACTTTCAGGGTCATTCATTCATCTGCCGCATACTAACCAACCAACTAACCTCAATTTCGCCTTGAGAGTAGTTCGACTGCTAAATATTGCTGAGGCTGACTGGCTGGTTGCCTGGCCGTTGGGATCCATATTAACAAGCCTAATTTGTGTGCATCGAAAAGAAGTAAGTTAGTTCAGACATTATCCTTACCTGCTTGGTCGTCCATCCAGGTTTAATGATCCTGAATTTGTTGTGGAATTTTCCTAATTTTAGTTGATATTCCATTTCCTACTATATCTTTATTATTATTATTATTATTATTGTAATTTAAGCATCTTTAATGAACTGTGGTGGTGATTCCATTGTGATCTTACTGTACAAATCGATATTATTTGAAAAGCACACTAATATTGTTATTGACTACTACTACTAATCTAGAATATTCTATGTATATAAACATGCATGCCTATATAGATATAATTGTAGAGCGAGAAGAGGTGAAGGAGGAGGAATTTATCGAAAAGGGGATATTCTTTTCTGGCTGGCACAATTGGATTTTGTGTTTCATAGACCTTCATTTTTCTGAAGCCAGTTTAGAAATTGTCTACACTCAGCATATATCAACAAAATGATAAATTAGTCAATTCTTCTATGTGGATGAGAAACTTGGTGCTCCAATTTTTCAACATCTAATAGCTACCTTCACCAGCTCTACCTACTGAAGATCAAATGGCCGTTAGAAAGAATTATCAACAACAAAAAACTCTGAGGACAAACCACTAAGGCAGAACACCTATTGCTCAACTAATATCCCCAAGAAAAGACAGATGGATCAAGGACACAGTGAGGAGACCATCGAATGACATCGAGAGCCAGGCCACTGCGCTCGAGCGGGAACTTTATATGAAATGGCAACTGTTGAATCAACAATCATTGATTGTTGATTTATATTCCTCTCCTAGTCTAGTGAATATAACAAACTTTAAGGTAACACAATTTCTACATTTATTCCCAGGTAGATTAGACACCCTGCAATCTACGAATGCTTGGCATGCAGTTCGCTCGTGATGCTGTCAAAAGTAAGATGATGTTACAGGACTGAAGTGGACTACACTAACTCCCAGTTTAGAAATCTGGAGTGAAGTGGTTGGTGGTGGAGCGCGTTGACTGCTTCACTTATTTTAGAAGTACCATCAGCCAGTGCCAAGGGGTTGATCTCTGACGAAATCTCAGCTGAGTACGGATACAGGGGGCTAGTTTCGCATATGCCCGCCAGTTGATGCCGTCTCTGGCTTACTAGACGTGATATCTGGCTGACTGACTGACTGGCTGTCAACCAAAGGGTGGGTGTACTACTAACCAGTCCACTCCGTCCTACTCTATGGCCAGCTGTGGGTGAGACCTCGCCATTGACAGTGGAAGACATGAAAAGATTAGCTGTCTTTGATCATAGGTGCCTGCGTTCTATCTCCCGTGTGAAGTGGTACAATAAGGTGACCTATATTGAGGTTAGGCGTCGGTCGAGTGTTAGGCAAGCAGGAAGGCAAGTTAATCGACGAGGCTGTGAAATTACATCGACTGAGATGGTTAGGACATGTGTTACGCATGTGTTATGCCTAGTCATTGCCATCCTCGACAATGGGAAATGTTAGCTGGCTGACATAGGATTGGTCAGGCTGGAAAACAGGTAGCTAGCGGCGGTCAAACCAAAACATGGCTTCATCATCAGTCAATGAAGAAATCCACAACAGTTAGTTTAAGCCAACCAGTCAGCCAGCCAGCCAGCCACGTAGGAAGGTGTAGACTGGCTGGCTGACTGGTTGGGGTTCTCGCGATGATAGTAAAAACTAATGAAGGCTGGCGCAGATGCATCCACTCCTTGTGACTTATAGTACCAATAAAACTATATTGTTCTTCGTTCGTTATTACTATTCCTTTGTTGTCTCACACCTGTGTTTACTGTCTCTCTATTATGCATTTCTCATTTTTACTTTCTTCTCTTGGTTTGTGTGCTAGCTAGATGGAGGGAGTGTGGCGACTGGAACTGGTGCACATCAGTACCAAGGTCTATCTGTTGGAAACAGATAGACAGACAGACAGACAGATTAGACACACATCATCATAAGAAAAAATAAAACTGAATTATACACAACACATAAAAACATTATTATTATTTCGATGTATCACTTACTTCCATTGTAATATAACTGGTGATTACATTTTCGCCTAATCTTGAGAATAAATGAGCTAATGTTGGCACAGTAGCTTGAGGTTCATCTAGAGTACTACTACTACCACTATTACTACTACTAGAAATTGCCTCAGTGTCAATTGCATGCGATAATTTAATTCGATTTAATAGTTCAGTTAAACGCGATGAACGTCCATCTGCAATATTTGCTTGAGCCTTTCTGATACAAGCACATAATCGTTGCAACTGTAATCGAAAATAATTAAAATGAAAATAAATTAAGAAAAGAAAAAATTATCGATTGTATCACAGCATTACAATTATATATATATATATATATATATTATATATATATATATATATATATATTAAAATATATATATATATAATGTCAAAAAGAACAATTAATTTGTAAAAGTTGCTTGAAACTATATATGCACAAACGAAGTTCACTTTTAACAGTTTGAAAATAAAAACAATTTGGGCATTGGGTGGTTGGTATATGATATTCATTATAATAAAGGTTGTTTTCTTGTATTTTCCATTGAATGAATGAAAAAGAGCAAAACGATATTGTTGTTGTCGTTGCTCTTACTGACTGACGACGTTTCGCTATTTAAAGCAGCTGCCGCTAATAGCTTTATCAAAGCAGGAGTACTATGAAACCAGAAGAATTTACAAAATCCACTCAGCATATACATATAACGAAAAGTTAAGAGGAGGTGACGAGAAAATCGACTTGACTCGACTACTTAGGTCAATGTGTTGCAAGGTGTTTCGTTTCCACTCAGGTTTCCTCAGTGATAAGTATGCTACTGAGGCACACCAAACAAAAGGGAACGAACAAAAACAGGCCGCGTGTGACCGGCCACAAGCAGTTGTCCCCTGGGCTCTGCGGTCACGCAACCAACTTCCACGGTGTGGGCAGCCGGGAAGTAACAATCGCCCTCGCAATCCGAAACGCACGCGAAACCTCTCTATTCCTCATGATGATAGAGTGAAGGTATCCTTTGTAATTTCGTCCTTCAGTTTCTCAGTGTGTGTGTGTGTGTGTGTGGTAAATCTCCAACTTTTTTGAAGGCTTTCAACTTGACATTGAATATCCCTTGTGCTAGATCTGAACGGTCTGAACCTACATATACTTCTCTTCTTCATATTGTATTCGATAAGCCTACACATCCTCACACTTCTTTGACAATATAGAAAAGTTAATCCAAATTTTTAGCGTTTCCGTTTAGAGCAAATCCAATCTACCTCCTCGTTTCGCATTTTCCAGAGAACAATAATTTTTAAAAACTGACAAAGTGTGATTAAACAAATCTAGAAGTAATCACCATAGTCTAGGTGGAAAATAAGACCATCGAATTTAATGACCAGTCAATCACTCATAAGACGAAAATTGTTCGAAGAGTGGTGAGACAGCTGTCTGCTAACTAGCCAAAAATCGACAGGTAAGTAATTTACGTCAATGTTCCAAATGTCCCCAATTAGTGATCATGAGAAAAGAAGAACAAGAACAAAGAATGACTGACTCAACCAACAGCTAATCACAGCACACTTTGTTTGTGTAGGCGGATACGATTAGCAGATATATAGATGATCTGACCTTCAAAAACAGTCACAAAGAGATGAAAGATGTTTTTTCTGCTGACAATAATCAATAATAATAATAATCTTCATGAAAATCTATAAATATGTATTGATTTCCTAAATAAACGATCTATTTGGCTGGCCCTTGTCTTCTGTTGTTACATACGTTACATAAGTGTTTGGTTTCCTTGTGAATCGTGTTTGTTTTTAACTCAGCTGTCTGGAATACATCTTTCACATTGAGGGTTATGAGTCATAATATTGTGTTTATGAGCAGATGATGCTACTACCCACCCAGCCAGTTGACCACGGTGACCCAGGTGGTCCAGCGGTATCCAAACCTAATATGACGCGAAGAGACATATACTATGAGCCAGTGTTTCCAACATGGGCAAAGTTGAACAATAGCGTCCCAGGAGTGAGAATGCGCGAGTGACCTACAGGTGACCAATCATAAATAATATGTGGAATTTTTGCACGAAAAATGATTGTATAATAACAGCAAAATGCTCGAAAACACATTAAACAGGTTATCATTTCTCTGACATCATGACTTGAAAATATGTATCAGTTGCTAAGTTAGACTAGTTTCTGTGTATGTATTCACCATGGTGACTGGAGATAGGCTGTTTTTGTGGATTGTTTATCTCTCTTATATTGTTTTGTAGTCCTCCCCAAAGCCCTCACAGTTGAATTACTATGGTTTCCATTAGGAGAATCGACTACTACTTACTTCGTGGCAACTCGAACTGCTGCACTTCGGTGCCAAGTTCTATGTTGAATCCAGACAGACAGACAGACTACTTACTTACCAGGAAAGTGTGTGGATAATAAAACAAATTAAAATAAATGAGACATCAACTCTAAATCTATTCCTAATCGTAACCCTAACCTTAATCCTGACTTCTTAACCCTATGCTTAACACTGACAATAACATTCATCCTAAAGCTAATTATAATCTTTATCCTAACCGTAGACCTAACCCTAATCTTAATTATGACCCTAATCCTAACCGTAACCTCAATACTTACCTTGACCCTGATTCTAATCGTAGTGAGCTATTAACACACATTGTCCAAACAGTACTTAAAAAAACGTGATCTGGGTGAAATTTACTGCTTAGCTGGTGAATATCACTGATACTTCAGCTGTGATCATGACAGGTGCCATTAGCCAACGACTAGAATGCGTTCAAGGTCACTGGAACGTTCACACTCCTAGGACGGACGCTATTCTTGAACTTTTCGCCCCAACATGACCGGTCTATGGTGCAAACATTCGATCTTAAACGTGTTGGTGTCACTGGATTTTTTTTATTGGTGAATTCCAGCTAGTCAAAATAGTTTTAAAAAAACTGCATAACAAACTATAATTCCTAGATGTTGCCTTTTACTGACTCAATATAAATAAATTTTTTTTAAATGAAGAATAAAACGATTGAAGATTTTTTTCTTAAAACCCCAAAAACTTACTGTTATCGATGGATTATTCGACCAGACAATATCCGGTGAAAGTGGTGTGAAATGAGTCACCTGAAGAAATAATCCAGTTTCACCGGGATGTTGTTGTTGGTGGTGGTGTCCAGCGGTTGTGGTGGCGGTGGTGGTGGAACTCACTTCACCCTGGTTATTATAGACAAGCACCCCTTGAGAATTTGTGCTAATACTACTCATGTAATGTTCTGGAAGTGCACTACACACAATTAAGTAATACTTGTAGAGGACATTCAACGGAGCTAAAATTACTTCGCAGGCTATATAATATTCATTATTTGGAAATAATTGAGCAAATAGGATAGGCCAACGGCATGATTGTTGCAAGCGGATTAACATTTCACACCATGGAGTCTTGGCTGCTGCAACTTGCACAGGAGATAAGATTAGCGGAAGATGTCGTTTAAACGGATGCCAAAATGGTCGATGGATTTTTGCTGTTTGCATTAACCGCGTTAGGCCTAAACACAGTCGGAGATGTTCTAGACAATCCGATATTACAGTACGCCAACGAACATCACCGTGTGCCAGGTTACGTAGACTTCTTGATTGAATCGATGAAATACGATCACTTTCATGTGGTTGAACTAACCCGCCGCCTCCAGAGGCAGTGACAATACGAACACGATTCGAAGACGCTTGATTGAAGGCGGACTCCAATGAAGCGAGGGCATTGATAGCACTGGAACGTGAAAAATTTTCAGTAATCCCAGTAAAATTTGAAGGAATATTGACAGGGGAACTCAGAGCACCGAATTCGGTATCAAGGGAAGTGAGTAGTGGGAAAGAAGCGCATATAAAACCCTGGACAGGATCTATGCGAACTTGCAGGGATTCCTGTGATCCACATGGCCATAAAACTGGTACGTAAAGGCATAAAGGAGCGTCGGTCAAACGTACAGGTCCGGGACTAAGGACAAGTAACTCTTGTCGCAAATCCTGAAAGGAAATAAATAAAGTAGATAATAATAATAATAAGTAGGCCCCAGCTTGTCACTCATTAAGATGAAAGCAATACTTGATCCAAATTTTCAACCGATTGTTGATAAATATTCGGAAATTAATTGCCCGTCCAACGATCAACTGTGCATAACCAGCAATGCTATGCCCTACATCATAACCTCAGGACAGTCCGTGACAACTAAAGCACAACGACTTGCTCCTGATAAACTGAGACCAGCTAGAAATGAGTTTGACCATATGCTCACTCTTGGCATCAATCGGCCATCGAATAGCCCATGGGCATCCCCACTGCATATGGTACCGAAAAAGGAAAGCAACAATTGGCGACCCACTAGTGATTACCCGCGAGTGAATGCCAAAACAACCCCTGATTGCTATCCAATGCCTCATATACACGACTTGACGGCAACATTATCTGGCACAACTATGTTCTCTAAAAGCGTTTAACCAGATCCCGATAGCAACATAAGATAATCCAAAAACGGCTTTCATTACGCCTTTTGGACTTTTCGAATTTCTACGCATGCCGTTTGGTCTCTGGAATGCAGCCCAAACATTCCAACGCTTCATCGACGAAGTATTTCGTGGTCTCGACTTTGTATACGCATACTTAGACGACTGTCTCATTGCCAGTCCAGACAAAGAAACTCACCTTAGACACTTGGACTTGGCATTTGAAAGGTTACGCCAACATGGTGTTACCATCAATATTCAAAAGTATCAGAAAGGCGTTGATTCACTCGACTTTCTGGGCCACACTATGGACTGCAAAGGCTAGTAAAGTTCAGGCGATACTGAACTTTACAGAGCAACAGGCAGTGGAAAGTCTCCTCACTTTTAACGGCATGGTAAATTATTACCGACGTTTTATTCCCACACTGTGCCTCTCTAATTTAACCGTTGACAGACACCTTCTTCGAGGGAATAACAAGTCCATTGAAATTGACGTGTCTGCTCGAAATGCTTTTACTTAGGTTGATAATAATATATCCTCATTTTTGTACATGAGGTATGCCAGCTTACAGGCATCATCAATATGACAAATTACATATACGAACAGTGGGCATATTTATATGACAATAATTTAATAAAATACTTATTTATTCCTACCTGTGTAGAACACACAAAATATACAAACATGGATAAGAATTATTTAAATTACATTAATTTGGTTTATAGTGAATATACATGGTTTGTGAGAACAATCACCTAACTAGTCATTCAATGGACCACATCAAGAAATATAGAAATATTGTCTTCGCATTAACAAAAAAAACCAAGTATGTTATGGGTGGATTACAAATACTTGGGAAAATAAATAAAGCTTGAAGTCAATTCCTCCACATAACTTTGGTGTGTGTACGGCATCGAGTCTTAATCTTGATTAATATCCAAATTTGGTAGTAATTTAAAATAAGTGATGCACTTTTATAGTTTTGTAAGCATTTTCATCGTAGCATCACAAGTGAATTGTACTCAATGTAGACTAATAATAATAATAATAAAATAATAATAATAATAATAATAATAATAATAGTTTATATTTTCCTATAAACAAGTGTTTTCAAGAAATGCAAGCTATTTTTACAGACACGATCAGTTATGTTATAAATTACAATCGTGAAGTATTATAAATTCTTTTTATTCCTCCACATTCACAGTGGAACATAGGGCACCTTCAAGCTAGTGACTTAAAGTTTCTGTAGCAGTGTTATTTTACATGATGGGGTTGCTGCTAGCCTCATGATCAACCTTTCCTCTTTACCAGATTTTATTTCTTGCTTAGCAAGGTAGAGGAGTGCGGCGTCGGCCGGGGATCGAACCCCGGACCATGTGAGGCATGGTCGGCGAGCGTCCTAACCGCTATGCCACCGACGCACATTATATAAATTAATACTTTTTTATTGGTATAAAAGGTATATTCCACAACTGTTAATCCAGGTAGCGTCGTGGAGGAAGGTAAAGCGCAATTCACGACACAACTGGAAGATTTGGGACCAATAATGTTTGCAGATATGGAATACACATTGTTAATATCACTTAGAAATTCAATTTAACCGTTTTACGACTGGTTTCAGTGATAAACTTGCCTGTAACTCTTGTTGAAGGGAAATCTCATTTTTTTTCCATAAAACTCGAATAAACTACAACACTAAACGTATAAAACAGTCACAGAGTTAGACCATTTAGACGCCTGAATAAGCAACATCCACTCTTCGCATACTTTTCCTTGTGAAGAGGAGCAGGAGAATAAACTACATTTCCAAGGTGCCTTGCTAAATAGGCGAGAAGATGGGTCTGTCTGTCTATCTATTTTCGACATACGACCCCTTTGCACCAATGTGCACCAGTTCAAGTCATCACACTCCACTCCATGCATGCAGCACACAAACCAACAGAAGAGAGTAGAAGAAACGCATATTACAGACAGTAAACAGAGGTGTGAGACAAAAGAATCGTAATAACGAACGAAGAACAATGTAGTTTCATTGGAAATCATAAGTCACAAGGAGTGGATGACTCTCCGCCAGCCATTAAGAACGATTTTGAGCCATGTCACCAATTGCTTCCAACCTTTGGTTTTTACCGCCATCCTGTGGACCCCAACCAGTCAGGAAGCCAGTCTACATCTTCCTACATGGCTTAGACTAACTGTTGTAGATTTCATTGACTGATGAAGAAGCCATGTTTTGGTTTGACCGCCGCTAGCTTTTTTCCAGCCTCACCCTACATCCGCTAACATTGCCCATTGTCGAGGAAGGCGATAACTAGGCACACGTAACACATGTCCTAACCATTTCAGTCTATGTAACTTCACAACTTCGTCGATTGATTTCCCCCTCTTTACCTAGAACTCGACCGACGCCTAACTTCAATATTGGTCACCTTATTATGCCACTTCACACATGAAATAGAGCGCAGGCACCTATGATCAAAGACAGCTCGCCACGCTTTTCATGTCTTCCACTCTCAGTGGCCAGGTCTCACAGCCATAAAGGAGGACGGAGCGGACTGATTAGCAGTACACCCGCTCTTCGGTCGATAGTCAAACATCTCGTCTACGCCACAGTCGGCGTAAACTGACAGGCGTATGCGAAACGAGCCCCCTGTATCCGTACTCAGCTGAGACTTCGTCAGGGATCAACCCGTTGGCGTTGGCTGATGGTACTTTCCAGATAAGTGAAGCGGTCAACGTGCTCTACCACTTCACTTCCTAGGTGTCGATGTAGTCCAGTCCTGTAACATCATTTTGCATTTCACAAGGGGAGCGAATCGCATGCCAAACATTCGTAGATTGCGGCTCAAGGTGTTTAGAAGACTCTGCATTTTGTCAGAGTCATCGCCTAGAAGGACTATATCGTCTGCATATTCTAAGTCAACGAGATTATTCCCTCCCTGCTAGCAAGTTAATCCCTGAGTCGCTGAAGTAAGTCCCTTAGGGTTAAGTCCATTAACACATCTATGATAAAATTGAATAGAAAAGGGGATAATGGGCATCCTTGACGGACACCACTAGTCGTCACCACTTCAGATGACAGCTCGCCGTAAGCCCTCACCTGGCTGTATGACTACGAGTAGAGTGCCCTAATCAGTGCAATATATTTTCTTGGAATTCCCTTTACAGCCAAGCATCTCCAGAGAACTTCCCGATCGACAGAGTCGAATGCTGCCTTTAGGTCAAGAAATATAATGACTGTTGGATGCCGGTGGGAATGACTATGTTCTAGAATCTGTCGGAGGGTAAAGATATGATCAATACACCCTCTTCCTGGTCTAAAGCCTACCTGGCTCTCACGTGTTTGTGCTTCCCGAGCACCACTCAGTCTACGCATGATTATTGAGCCTAAGACTTTAGATACTATATTAGTCAAGCTAATCCCTCTGTGATTATCACAGGAAGACTTGTCTACCTTCTTGTATATGGGGATAATCAGTGACTTACACTAACCCGATGGGACTTCCTCTGATTCCCAGACGCTGCCTAGAACCTCAGTTAATGCAGACAGTAAACTGTCTACGCCGTAGTTAAATACCTCTGGAGTCATTCCATCTGGTCCCGCTGCTTTGCCTTCAAGATGGGTCACACTTGGGAGAAGCGTGTATAGGAAAAGCACATTCACAGGGCAATACCCACACTTCCTTGGTTACGTGTTAAGTGTTTTGCGAGCGGAGCAAGAAAAATATGTAGGGATGACTACTTACAAAAGGAATTTGAATATATTCACGATTCCTTAACGGAGATGGACTGGCTATCCGAGCAGTTTCATAAAGAAACATATGAAAACATAGGAGAGAAAGCCAACCTGAGAAGATGACTGCACGTAAAACAACCCCTATTTTTTAAGTTACTATTTAATGGTAACTTATCAAGTGAGATTTTATTCCAGAGACTTTCCAGGAGTATACGAAGAACGTTTTAAACAGAATACCCAGGTTTGTCATTCTCTAGCCGACGAATGATTGGGACGTAAACGAAGGATAAGCTAAATAGTTTTGCCACACCTATGTGCATTTATCAATTCAACTAAATCTGGGCGTACTATGTACGCAAAAAGAGACAGTGGTGAATCTTCCACTGCCCTGGTGATAACGAAATAAATATACAACCTTTATGAGTCACCCATTTCTCTTGTTTAGGAAACTCTACCCTCTCTCATCTAAACACGACTCACTCGACCTTGTTCTTTTCTTCTTTTTTTTCTATTGGCTATTAGATAAGACATTTTCTTTAGTTATGTAATCTACTTTTTTTGTTATGCTCTTTCAAGCTAAACCTTGTTTCTATACACACACATACACGCAACTCTGTTTTTTGTTTTCAAGCCTAATATTGTCTAATTATTTTATAAACAATACTTACTTACTTTACTTCGGCTATCTCCTATGGGAGGATGAGCCCGCCTCATGGACATCTCGAATCATCGCTGAACATCCAAGCGCGGCGATTTGATGCAAGGTTCTGCGACAGGGTTATCCAATTCTTGTTCCACAGACGACGGAGTCCGTAGACGGTTTGTAGCCCCAGCCCAGCCACTCCAAATCACCCTTGACTGACTGTAACAAGCCATGTTTTCAGCTGTCCACCCCTGCGACATCGCCAAGATGGAAATGGCGAGGGATTTAGAACTGATTTGACCAGATCGTCATCTGGTCGGCTCACAACATGGCCAAACCACCGAAGGCGACGTTGTTCCACCAGTACTCGAATTTGGTTGATGTTGTTTGTAAGAGAGTTCATCAAGTTTCATGGGAATTAGGTACGAGTGATGTCCCCACCATCGCTCGGCCTTTTGTTTCAGAGTGCAGCTCTAGCCTTTACACAACCAAGTGTGACCTACAAGGCAGTAGAAGTGGAGTAGGGAGTCCACTATCCATTGTCACTCGGTCACCGGTCACCGGAGTCCGCTTCATACGCCGTTTTCAATGGGGCCACAAATCCAGGAAATCCAATAAGCCCTTTGTCCATACGTCTGCCGGTGAGCTTCATACGCCAGTCGTTGGAGGATTGGAATCAGGGTTTGGCCATCTCCCCTAGACTGTCATCCAATGGACAGTCAACCCGGTGAAGAGCGCTGGTCATCCGCTTTTGCCCTCTCACTTCGGTGAAAAACACCTCCGCCACGTAAAGGCAGTGAGTAGGACATCCTCAGGAGAGACTATGTAGGACGCCCGGTCATATGGGAGCATTTCAAGAGGTGTACGGAGGGGTGGCCAACCCGCAGCGCAAGGCACCCACCCCCGACCATCCTGAGGATTTGGAGGCCTATAAACAATCAGTGTGTTTGTAACTCTTAATTAGTTAAATCATTCCGGACTAATGTTATTTTTACTTCCTACCAAACAATTACTACTCCTTGTGATCGTGGAAAAAAAGTATATTCAAATCTTTAATGTAATTCACATATATTTTTTATCGTTCAGGTTGTAACCAGTTGAGAAGAATCCTGGAAATAATAATAATAATAAAAGATGAGCTCATATTATCTCCTGGTACAATTGTTTTTTTTCCTTGCTTTCTTCAATATTTTGTAAGACAGATTCTAGTGACTAACACACCGATTGTGGTGTGTGACTCACTACGACGCCTAATATCATCATCATCATCAGTCGGTAAAAGACTGCTGTGAATCTTTCTTTTTTTTAATAATTGGCCTACGCCAGCCAATCGACAATAAAATAGTGTACAACAGTGTGTACACATGAAAAACAAGATTCGAATTTGCAACACAAAAATGTCAAGTCAGTCAGTTCTCCTATAACGACGAGTCATCAAAACCCAGTGTGTCATGAAAAGGATTTTCAACAGCTGGCTAGCTAGCTGACTAGCTCCAAACTTTTATAAACAACCGCCACCTTCGCTAGCTGGCTCCAACATTCTGAAGATCAAATGCCCAGTTGGCCGGCCAGCCAGAAAGAGTAAGTAAGCAAAAAAACACTCTGACTGATAACAAACCTACCCAAGAGCCGATCGTACAACAAATATTGTAGGAGAGGATGGAGGTGGATCACACATACGTTGAAGAGGCCGTCGAATGACACTGCACGGCGTAATGCAGGCCATCGCTTGAGTGGAATTCATCAAATGGGAAGCGATGAGTGCGTCATCGTTACAAGTGTGTGGATATGGAGAATATCGTGTAAGAGATTATGAAGAATCGTGGATTCACAGCTGAAGAGGATGGCAGAAAATCGGGGCGGGGCGAGTAGAGATGTGTTGTTGAAGCCAGCCCTGTGTTCCACACGGAACCCAAGGGAATAATTGTAATATATATTGTTTATTATTTATTTAAACGCAGAAGAAAAAAACTTCCTACAATATGGCACCAAGAAAGTTGCATCACAAAATAATAATAATAAAACAACATAGATCAAAAGTAAAAAAGAATATAAGTAGAGAACGGATAAAGAACTTCATCTGGAAGGAAAACAGTCATACTACTTAACAAGTTCAAACAGTATTCGTCAACCCACATCAGGAGGGGAAGAATGAAGGAAAATGCAACACGTTCGCCATTGATGACTGCGACTCTTGACCATAGCCAATAACGTTTCAAGCTATCTCGCCGACCCCAACCAGGGAGTCGTGATGCACCGCCAACCGATGCTGATCTAGCACAAACATCCTCCATCCCACGATGCCACGTCATGGACTGACTACCCCTCCGCCTTTTCCATCCCCTCCCCGGGCAAGCAAACAGAGACACATGTACGGAAGCCTCTGGGATGACATTCTCAGCACATGTCTAAGCCACCGAAGCCGGTGTTTCCAGATGACGACAACACTCAATGAATGGTGATCTCCGCTGTGTTCAAACACACGCCGCCCAAACTCAGAATTCCTCACGCGATGATGAGATCCACCGAACGCAAGCAATCCTGTGGAGACAGCGATGGTCGAACACGCAGGGCCGTCTCACATCCTCAGCCCACTCAGAGACCAGGTTTCACAGGCGTAGAGCAAGACAGCCCGCACCGAAGCATAGTATACCCGACCTTTGACAGCTGGGCTAACGTCGCGAATGCGACAGACCAGAGGTGGCTCAAGTTGACGTATACCAACCCTAGCCTTCATTACTATACGGTTGAAAATCTCATCCATCACCCCTCCACCGCCACCGCCGCCAGTACTCACACACACAACTATCCAGATATACAAACTTATCAACAACTTCACCTGCAGGCAAGAGTGAGAGTACAGGTACAGGCTTCTGCCAATAATCTTGAAAAACAGTACTTTTTGCACTTAGATGGTGAAAAGTGCACATACCATACTAATAAATAATAGTATGAAGCTACAATATTATTCAAGTGAAATAATGAAAAACGATAGTGTACATGATCTTTTCATACTTCTGATCATCTATTGGATACAGAAATTTTTAAAAACTACCCCACCACTAATTCAGCATGACAAATATTGAGGGGTGCAAAATCAATCACTTTGTGCAATCAATCAATCAATCAATTTGCATTTTTAACCAATTTAACCAAGAAGAAAAGAAATAATAATAACAATAATTACCTGTAACATTTGTTTGCCTCGAGCGAACATAGTTTGTGTTAAAAGGGTTTCAATCGAAAGACAGTTCCGCTGTTGAACACACACACACACACACACAAACATACACAAAGAAAAAAAGAGAAAGTAAAGTGAGTTAAAATACTTATGTCAAGTTTTATTTGAATAGATGCGTTATAATGAATAGAGCAGTCTGCTAACACATTTTGTAATACTTCTGTTTGATATATATATATATATATATATATATATATATATATATATATATATACTATATCTGTCTGTCTGTCTGTCTCTCTGGATTCAACATAGAACCTGACACCGAAGTGCAGCAGCAGTTCCAGTTGCCACGTTCCAAATACCACACAAAGGTAGACAAGAAGATGTAGAAGAATGAAGAGAATCAATAGAGTTTGACAAGTATAAGAGTGAAACAGAATGGGTAATGATAGAAAGGAATATGAAAGATTACAGAGACTGAATACATCTGCGCCAGACATTGACAACGATTTTGAGCCATGTGTCACCTATTGTCTCCAGCCATTGATTCCTAGAGTCAGTCCGAAGGGCCACAACCCGGAAGTCTGCATCTCCTCCCCTACCTGACTCAGTTTAACTGTCAAGGATTTCATGGATTGATGAGGCCATGCTTTTGTTTGGCCACCACTGGCTCTTTTCCAGCCTGCACCTATATCAGCTAGTAATGCGATGGTTGGGAGGAGGCGATGGTTAGGATACTATATCTGAAGAGAGCTGGACTAGACTTAAGCATAGCAACCACAGGAAAACGGCCATCGAAAACACCTCTAATAACCAATCAAATGAGCTAATAATAAAAGCGCGCGATTTGAAATTTTTCTAATCAAAGTAAGTGGCACAGCGGTTAGGATGCTCGCCGACCATGCCTCACATGGTCCAGGGTTCAATCCCCGCCCGGCGGACGCACTCCTCCTTTACCTGACTAAGCAATAAATAATGCTGGTAAAGAGTAAAGGTTAGGCATGAGGCTAGCAACCTCAACCTGTAAAAATAAACACTGCTACAGAATCATCAAGCCTCTAGCTTGGAGCCCTATGTTCCACCGGGAACGTGAAAGAAGGAAGAATTTACGTCAATGTTTATCTCCCAAATATTAGTCATGAGAAAAGAACAAAAACAAAGACTGACTAGCTCAACAACTAATCACAGAACACTTCGTTTGCGTAGGCGGATACAATTACCAGATAGATAGATGATCTGATCTTCACGGACACAGCCACAAAGAGAAACAACTAATCAGAAGACTGTGCTTGTCTTCTAACAATTAACAATAATAATGTACATGAAAATCTATAAATATGTGTTGATTTCCTTAATAAACGGTTTGTTGCCTGGCGATTGTCTTCTGTCGTTACAGTTGTATTTCTCTGAAACGAGTGGGATAATAATGTGTAAATCTCTTCACTGTCCTTTAATAAAAACAAAATCTTCTGCTCTTTTAATACAAAATGAGAAATTGATTAATATTCGATTAATTTTGTGAGTAGGTTGTCAATTCAAAAATTTGTCTTTCTAACAGCAGCGTTCAATCTTTGTCTAGTTATCAAGCTGCTATGATGCCACCCCATATAGGGTAGCTTCATGCACACGTGTTTCTTAGGGGTGAGTTGTACAGTGGGTCTTCGTGTTCCACTGACAACTTTATATCTCCTGATGAACTTGTCTGGATAATTGTTATCAATCAGAGCACAGTTGTGTCAACTTTCTTTCTTCCTCATCATCAAGTGTGTCTGTCTTTAGTGCATATTCGTTGGATTCTACTGTGAAGAGGCACCTTGCTCACTAAGGCTCTTTTGTACTGAATAGGGCAGAAACTGTGGTAATTAAGGTACTGTCCTGTCCTGTCCTGTCCAGGTAGGTTTTCTATACATAGATCTTTTCATTGACCCATCAAGCCGTTAGTAGTCGACTAAGCAATATGTCGTCTAGGAAAGCTAAACAATTCTCCTCCTCTTCTACAGACAGATGTAAGTGATACGCTTGGCTATTCTGAACTTCATTCACCATTCGATTGCAAAATTGAGATGACAGAACAAGGCGCTTATCACTCACTCACTGATGATGATGATGACAATATCATCTACATAATACCTTCTATAAAGTGGGACATTTTCGATTAAATCCTCTGATAAATTCTCAATGTACGACATATAAATAAATATCTGCTAAAAGGGGCCCTAACAGACTTCCCATAGAAACGCAATCAATATGGTGGAAATAATCGCCAAGACCCACTCTACAACTTGCCCCCCCCCCTAAGAAAGACGTGTACATCAAGCTACCCTCCTATATGGGCGGGGGATCATAGCAGCTTGATAACTAGACAAGGATTGAACGCCGTTGTGGTTTAAAAGACATTTTATGCAGCTAAATTCATAAACATTGAGAATGTGATGCTAATATATACATCCCTCTAAGCCCTTTGAACATGCGAAAAATGATGTCACATCCCACTGTATATACCAATTTGTATGTATTTGTGGACACACATACATGGGCAGGACTCATGGATCTCTGCATGTAAGGGCTGGCTGGCTTCACAGAATATTCCTATATGGCTCCGGAGGCAAATGGAATCTTTAGAACCCATTAATGGTGAGAACGGACGAAAACCTAGCTGACTCCTCTATTGCGAAACATATTGTACAGGAGACAGGACATAAAATTGACGTTTACACATCTTTAAAATCTATCCATCTATAAAAGCGTGTTTGGGGGAGGGTGTATCCTAAAGTTTGTGGAAGCCCTAGCTGGCAGTTAGAAAGTTTAAACCACTATTATGCGTTTAAAATACTTATTTTATGCATTCAAGTACAGTGAATACATCTCATGTGTCTATAAATCCTAACCGATTATATCTCAGTGTAGTCATCTGTAGTGTGGGAAAACATTATTCCACACGTGTCCAGTAGTGCCTGAACATTTTTTAACTCATAACTTGACTCATCAAAAGCCATACTCACAGAAAACGATTACCCTAACCGATTTACTGACAGCAATATGAAGATAAGCAGTCTAAACTGGTCACCGACTCAGTTCCAGACAAAACCTTATTCATGAACTTACACTTCAAAGGTGATCAAGCTTCAGATATGCTCAAAAATTGTCTCTCTAAATCAGTCAGTAAGGCGTTCTTTGCAGCAAAATTACACATGACGTTCACTAGCCGCAAGTTGTTCCCTACCTCTTGTAAAAGATAAGCTCCCCTGTCTGGCCACCTCCATGTGCATCTCTCGATCAGTTGACCTGCTCTTGTGGAGCAAGGTACATTGGCCATAGTCAAAGGAGGCTTTCCACACGGATACGAGAACAGATTCCAATAGCATGGTTTTACAAGAAGGAAAAGAAGTGTGTGTGTGTGTGTGTGTGAAGCTCGATTCTGGAACACCTGGTCGACTTCTGTCACTCTGTCAACCCAGACCATGATTTGAAGATCATGCCAACTCGCCGTTCGCGTTTTCTTCGTTACAGACTTCTAAAGACAGCTGAGGCCTTGGCCATTCATGACTTTAAGCCAGACAGGTCTTTATGTACAAAAGAAGTATGTACAATCCCTACTTCTACCTTGGCCGTATAGGGATAAACATTTACTTATTTTGTTTATTTAGTTATTCTATGTACTTTTCCCTTTTAACTACGATTATTATTATTATTATTCTCAGTCTGAATCTTTTCCAGTTGACCCACTTGTCATTTTAAACCCAAAAGTTTTATATTACTTATTTTTACAATATTGAATTCTATCTTATCAAATTTCACACCATGTTATGTAACATTTTATATTCGCCTACTAATCCTAAATTTATGTACCCTTTCCAACAATATCTATACACCTTATGTATTATATATATATTATTGATTGACGACTGGATCGCTGCAAAAAGCATTACGAGGAGCAATTTAATTGGCCCACAGCCACGCTCAACCTGCCGAACATCCAACGCCTCCCTGAATGGGATATAGACACAGGTCCTCCATCCCTAACTGAGGCTACTAAGGCTGTCACCAATCTGAAACTAGGCAAAGCAGCGGGACCTGATGGAATGACTCCAGAGGTATTTAACTACGGCGTAGACAGTTTACTGTCTGCATTAACTGAGGTTCTAGGCAGCGTCTGGGAATCAGAAGAAGTCCCATCGGGTTGGTGTAAGTCACTGATTATCCCCATATACAAGAAGGTAGACAAGTCTTCCTGTGATAATCACAGAGGATTAGCTTGACTAATATAGTATCTAAAGTCTTAGGCTCAATAATCATGCGTAGACTGAGTGGTGCTCGGGAAGCACAAACACGTGAGAGCCAGGTAGGCTTTAGACCAGGAAGAGGGTGTATTGATCATATCTTCACCCTCCGACAGATTCTAGAACATAGTCATTCCCACCGGCATCCAACAGTCATTATATTTCTTGACCTAAAGGCAGCATTCGACTCTGTCGATCGAGAAGTTCTCTGGAGATGCTTGGCTGTAAAGGGAATTCCAAGAAAATATATTGCACTGATTAGGGCACTCTACTCGTACTCATACAGCCAGGTGAGGGCTTACGGCGAGCTGTCATCTGAAGTGGTGACGACTAGTGGTGTCCGTCAAGGATGCCCATTATCCCCTTTTCTATTCAATTTTATCATAGATGTGTTAATGGACTTAACCCTAAGGGACTTACTTCAGCGACTCAGGGATTGACTTGCTACCAGGGAGGGAATAATCTCGTTGACTTAGAATATGCAGACGATATAGTCCTTCTAGGCGATGACTCTGACAAAATGCAGAGTCTTCTAAACACCTTGAGCCGCAATCTACGAATGTTTGGCATGCGATTCGCTCCCCTTGTGAAATGCAAAATGATGTTACAGGACTGGACTACATCGACACCTAGGAAGTGAAGTGGTAGAGCACGTTGACCGCTTCACTTATTTGGGAAGTACCATCAGCCAACGCCAACGGGTTGATCTCTGACGAAATCTCAGCTGAGTACGGATACAGGGGGCTCGTTTCGCATACGCCCGCCAGTTTACGCCGACTGTGGCGTAGACGAGATGTTCGACTATCGACCAAAGGGCGGGTGTACTGCTAATCAGTCCGCTCCGTCCTCCTTTATGGCTGTGAGACCTGGCCACTGAGAGTGGAAGACATGAAAAGCGTGGCGAGCTGTCTTTGATCATAGGTGCCTGCGTTCTATTTCCCGTGTAAAGTGGCATAATAAGGTGAGCAATATTGAGGTTAGGCGTCGGTCGAGTTCTAGGTAAACAGGGGAAATCAATCGACGAAGTTGTGAAGTTACATAGACTGAGATGGTTAGGACATGTGTTACGTGTGCCTGGTCATCGCCTTCCTCGACAATGGGCAATGTTAGCGGATGTTGGGTTAGGCTGGAAAAAAGCTAGCGGCGGTCAAACAAAAACATGGCTTCACCAGTCAATGAAATCCACAACAGTTGGTCTAAGCCACGTTGGAAGGTGTAGACTTCCTGACTGGTTGGGGTCCTCGGGACGGTAAAAATCTATGGTTGGAAACAATTGGTGACATGGCTCAAAATCGTTCTCAGTGGCGCAGATGCATCCACTCCTTGTGACTTATGATCTTCAATGAAACTGTTTTGTTCTTCGTTATTACTCCTTTGTCTCACACCTCTGCTTACTGTCTCTATTATGCTTTTCTTGTACTTTCTTCTCTTGCTTCGCGTGCTACACGGAGTGTGGCGACTTGAACTGACGCACATATGTGCAAAGTTCTATGTCGAAAACAGACAGACAGATTGTTTTGCCACTTGACATAAAACTATGATTATGATCACAAATAATTTAATTGCATTTCATACTATTATTACTTCATGTATTCACACCTTTGACCTAATTCTCTCACAGGATACCAATTTCTTAAAAACTATATGTATATAATATATATATATATATATATACGATTGTACAGCTTGATAATAAGTTCGTTTGCATAGAGGATTTCATCAAGAGCTGACATCAGTTAGAGAACCTCCGGAAAGCCTGGGAGTACTGGATAGCTAGCTGTTTCGTCAGCCTAGTTTGGGACTCTTCACAGTATGCACCCACGCCACTAACGTTAGAACCCAGGACATTCTGGTTACAGGACTAGCAAGCTACCTCGTAGACCATTGAGCCACTGGGACCTTGACCCGATCCAATGTCCAGTCAGCCCATGAATTCTAACTTCTGTCAATTCATGCGCAACATAGCACGACAATTTCCAAAATGTCTTTTTCGATGAGTGAGTGACTGCCTCATCTTCAACCTGCTGTACCCTACTGGTCACGAGTCCCCGCTAGAACCCCAGGTCACTGCCTACTTGAATAAGGCCAGTCGCTAGTGAGCGTCAGATTAATTAATTTTCAAGTATTGGTTGTGTAGGGATTCAGTTTGATTGCACGGAGAACTTCACCATGACCTGACATCAGTCAGAGAACCACTGGAAAGCATGTAGGGAGTACTGGACATCTGTTTCGTCAGCCTAGTTTGGGACTCTTCATCAGTACGAACCCACGTTGTAACCAGAGGGTCCTGGGTTCGAACACCGGCGGTGGGTGCGTGCCGATGAAGAGTCCCAAACTAGGCTGACGAAACACCTGTCCAGTACTCCTTGCAGGTTTTCAGTGGTTCTCTAACTGGTGTCAGTGCGCATGATGAAATTCTCCATGCAATCAAAATAAAAAAACCCTACAAAACCAATACTCGAAGATTAATATGAATGTCTGTATTAAAATAATAAATGCTGTTAACCTTGTGTTTTTCAAACATTTCACGTTTAATGTTTCGCATAAATTTATTCAACCACCAATCATTTTATCCAGCTCCATACTGTTGTGTAGTTAGTGTTTACTACTACGCAAAGTTCAACATCAAGTGAAAAATGTATAACGGTCTATTATTGAGTAATAGGGGGGCGGGGGTGACATAACTGATATAATTACCCGGAAGTGGCTTTAGAAGTAAAAAAAAATATTAAAAGTTGTAAATTAAGTGGTACTCAACGGAAGAACAAACATAGAAATTTGATAAGGTTAAAATTTCTATTGAATGAGTGAGAATAAAGGCGGTAGTTGAGTGTCCAGGTGTGAACAAGTGTGTCGCTAGAGGGTGTGAAAATGTACAACAGGGAAGAGCGTATGAGAGTGATACAATAATGAATTAATTATTAAAGTAAAATCGAAAGCGACTCAGACAAGTCCTCCTCATGCAGAATGGATATCACATCCCCAAGGTTTATCGAGAAAACAACATGAAGTTAAGGAAAAAACATGAGAGAACCCAGACGGTGTGGAGAAGAAACTGGTATTTATGAGTGTTGAATTTAAGGTGATACCACAGTTGAGATCGTGAAGAATCGCTGCTTATGCAGATCACTGACGAAAGCCTTCTTTATAGCTGAGCTACGTATCAATTTCTACAGCTGACAAATGATCAATGGATGTGTGAAGGATAAACTACCGCTTTAGACAGGCCACCTCAATGTGTGTGTGTTTATAAATTCACCTGCTCGTGTGGAGCTATTTATATTGGCCGAACAACTTAGCAAACACTTTCCAAACGCATCTCTGAAGGTTATCCGGCATGGTTAGGTTAGCAACAGGTCAATGCAAGACAATTACTAGTTCAATTCACGATCACTTAGTGAACTCAAGCCACGTAGCTCCACCAGAGTCGTCTTTCAACATCATCTACCACATGAAGCCAAATGGTAGAAAGTCTGTCGTGTTTAGGTTTTTGTGTATGGCGGAGGCGCTGTCAATTTGTCAATACAACCATGAACTCTGTAAATAGACAAAAAGTTTGTCCAGTCTCTTATTCTACCTTGGTCTTAACCTCTTCACTAGTCGTTCCCTATAAAAAGAAAAATTTGATTTTTCTTTTTTTTTAATTTTACTTTTAGTTTGATTTTGCTTTAATAATTAATTCACTATTATATCACTCTCATATGTTCCCTGTTGTACATTTTCACAACATGTCGCGACCCACTTGTTAAATTGACACTCCAACTCTACCACCTTTACTCTTTCCCACTCTCAATAGCAATTTTAACCTTCCTTATCAAATTTGTATCTATTTTGGCGTTGAGTACCACGTAATTTACAACTTTTAATTATTCACTGCAAGAAACTTTGGAAAACAGTTAAAACCACCAAAGCATGAATGAATGGTCTTTACTAGAGAGTGGAAAATTTACCGAATTCATTATTAGACTTCTCTGTGTTCAACTAACTGACCTGTACTGTAGTTCCAACTAACTGTGTTAAAGAAGTGGAAATTTCCGGACGATGGCTTAGACACAAAGGTCGCCGAGGTTCTGTCATATCAACATGAATGGTGAGCGAATAAGCTGGATAAAATCAAAAATAAAATATCCAAATTGAATTTTAATAAATAAATCTTACACAGTTGAGAGATTACAGAAGAAGTTACAACAACTACTTATTAAAATGTTATGTAAAGAAAAAGGCAAAGTTCAAGAATAGAGTCCCAGGAGTGAGAACGCTTATAAATGACGTTGAACGCTTGCTAGTCGTTGGTTGGTTGAAGAAACTGACCATTATTCTAGTGCGAAAATGAACAGTGTTCATCTGCTCAGATTGCAAATTTCACCCAGATCATGTATTTCAAATACTGCCTAGATAATGAATGAATTAATAGAATGTACTCAGATATGTATAGTTGTGGTGCTTCAATGAACCTGCAGCCGTGTATACCCAGGTCATCATTGATGGATATATATTTAGATGTACAGAGTGTGTAGGAGACGAATAAGTGTTCGTACACTGGTAAGTGACACACTCTCAGTTAAATTGTCTTCTAGGAATTTCTTTTTTTGAGGAATCGAAACTTTCCTTGACTAATATCCTGTTTCTGTGCCATTACTGCGGCACAGACACAAAACACGTTAACGTCTACTGTGCAATGGTTCCAGTTTTGTCGAGATTTAGCGTCGTGGAAAATAAAAAGCATTACTCAAGTGTTGGGAGGAGTCGGTGTAGTCGTTCATATCGACGAAACGGTCCTTATAAAGAAGAAATACAATCGGCGACGTGCCAGAGTAAATAACGTTTGCGTTCTGGATTTATCGAACTTATTCCAGATAGGAGTGCTGACACTCTTCTCCCTATTATTCAGTGACTCGTTTTGCCAGGCACTACCATTCACACGGAAGAATGGGCAGTATATAACCGATTATCGGATTTGGGATATATACATCATCAAGTTAACCATTCGGATGACTTCGTCGATCCCAGAACTGGTACTCATACTAATTCAATAGAAGGTTTCTGGGGAAGACGTCGGTGGCACAGTGGTTAGGACTCTCGCCGACCATACACATGGTCCAGGGTTCCATCCCCTGCCGATGCACACCCGATATCAATGATCGGCCTGCTAAATTTGGGCTACCGATATCACATGCTGAAAATGCCATAGTTGTATCAAAACTACGGTGTGAAATCAAGCCATAATCAAAATAAATAAATAAATAAAATTTAATAACTGGAGAAATAATTTTAAATGCGAATAAAAGGTTATAATTATTTTCAACTTGATATGAATTACAAGAGGCTAAGAGACACAGGGATAGAACGAATTACAGGCGTGAACAAAATGACCATGGAAACAAATTGGAATCAAAATTTTAGAGTCATTTACAAAGTAAACAGAAATCTACCAAAGGCAGTGGGTTTCCGACTTATTTGTACTGAAAAAGCTCTCGCCATATGCATCGAAAAGCCGGAGCTATGTGTTCAAAAGAAACTAGTCCAGCCTTTACAACTACCATGGACCTAGTTCGATATGTTCCCTTATCCTTCAGTTTTTTTTGTTTTGTTCTCTATGTGTGTAATTTTCTCTCTTTGCCTTCATTTAATTCATCCCATTTCCGTTTTCAGTTATTAAATCAGTTATTTTATGTTTGTTTCCATGCTCCCGCTGATCACACTTGTGATCCGTTTAGAATAACAGTTTTACAATTATATTCTAATTCTGTGTAATTTTTTTGTTTCTATGCCTCTTGTTATCTACATTCGCACACACCTCCTAACTTACATTTCAAGTTGAAAATTTTGATTTCAATTTGTTTCCATGCTTATTTTGTTCACAACTGTAATTTGCTCTATCCCTGCGTAACTTTCGTCTCTAAGCCCCGTTGTAATCTATATTCGTACCTTCAAACATTCATATCAAGTTGAAAATTATTATCTCCTTCGTTACTATGTGGAATTAAATAAATAAATAATAATTGTATTTATGTAAACTAATCTACATAAATGCGATTGTATAGCTGTTTTTGACAATGAAATCGACGAAGAGATCGACATCTTTGCTGAACATCTTGTTCTTTTCAATATAATAATAATCTCAAATAATAAATAATGGGAAGCATCGTTTCAACTACGAGCCAACAGAACTGATGAGGATGTCAAAGCAGTGAGGATCGGAAAAGCAAGACAAGCTTTCATTACTCTCAAGTCTGTGTGGAGGAGATCAACAGCACTAATCAGCATGAAAATGAAAATAAGATCCGAATTTTCAACTCCAATGTGAAGTCAGTCAGGGCTACTCATCATACGGATCAGAGACTTGACCAGTGCATCATGAATAGGGCACCTCAAACAAACGACACACCTTCCTTCCTCAACAGCTAGCTGTATTTGCTCAACACCGCTCAACATCAGATGGCCAGAAAAGATCAGCAACACGGAGGGATCTCTGGCAATGAGCAGACCAACACATCAGGAACCGATTGTGCAACAAATAAGCAGGAAGAAATGCAGATGGACTGGCCATCAAGTGACATCACTAGACAAGCCATAGCTCGAGTGGAACCCCACCAAATGGGAAGCGGCGAGTTGGTCGTCAGTGCGTGAGGGTGACTTGGAGGAGGAGGTCAAGCGAAGAAGAAGAAGAGATGATGAAAGCGCGTGGGCAGACTTGGAGCCAGGTGATGAAAACTCTAGCAGAGTACCCAACGTAATGGAGACTTGGGCGGCTGAAGAAACCCTATGTCCTATAGGAATTAGAGGAAATAATAATACTAACAATAAAAAAGAGTGGTTGATTTCAACCACATTTAAATTCACTGACGAGAAAAATTTAATAATAAACCACTCGGGGTGTTACGAGCGAACAAGTAAAATAAACACTTACCAGTAGGATATAATTTTCCATCTAGACTCATGATCGAGTTATACTGAGTTCTGGCTAAACCATGCCAATAACAGATCGATAGACATCTACTAGGTCTATACGCCTCTATGGTGAACTGATCCGGTGACCGTTTTGAACGTATCCGTTGCGCTTGTTCATGCAACATATCCAACTGAAGTGATAAGCTAAAAGCATCTTCACATTAAAAAAAAACTGTTAAGGTTGAAAAGCAAAATCATTAGTCTAAAAATTGACATTTTGGAAGTGTGTGTGTGGGCGGGCGGTTGTTACACTATCCGGCTGCCCACACCACTCACTGTGGAAGTTGATTGTTTCTTCGAATACCTGAAACACAGAGAGAGAGTTAGTGTTGCGTCGTACCGCAGAGCCCAGGGGACACAACTGCTTGAGCCAGGTCGGTCACACACACACAGCCTGTGTGAACTGGTTTCTTGGTTTGGCTGGCGTATTAGTAAACTTACCACCGGTTACGGACCACTGTAGGTGGGGTAAGTCGGGATGTACAATTGTTGGGGTCAACCTTTTTTCTAACCCCGACTCTCCAGTAGAGTGGAGAGACAGCATAGCTGGCTGTCTGGCATGCTGGACATCTGAGGGTAACACGTCACTACTGTTACACCCCTGTTCCCCAGCAGTGCGACTTCACCCACACATAGATTCCCGGCATAGTGCAAAAACAAAAATTCTTACACTATGCTGGTAACTGCTTTTAGTCTAATCGCTATCCTAACAACCTTCCTGGCACGGTAGGACCTGCAGGAACATTGATTCCAGCCAGTGTAGCTTGTTGGGTCATCGCGATGCGCAAGCCCGACCACCACGTCAAGGTAGCAGATATCGGTCGGGCCTTCCATGACGAACAATGTTAGGTGACATAGGGTCAGGCTGGAAAACAGCGAGCTAGCGGCGGTCAAACCAAAACATGGCTTCATCATCAGTCAATGAAGAAATCCACAACAGTTAGTTTAAGCCAACCAGTCAGCCAGCCAGCCACGTAGGAAGGTGTAGACTGGCTTCCTGACTCGTTGAGATCGTTGGGATGACGGTAAAACCTAATGAAGGCTGGAGACAATAGGTGATGATATGGCTCAAAATGGTTCTCAATGGTTGGCTAGAGTAGATGCATCCACTCCTTGTGACTTATGATTTCCAATGAAACTATATTGTTCTTCGTTCGTTATTAATGTTCCTTTGTCTCACACCTCTGTTTACTGTCTCTCTATTATGCATTTCTCATTTTTACTTTCGTCTCTTGGTTTGTGTGGTACATGGAGGGAGTGTGGCGACTTGAACTGATGCACATTGGTGCAAAGGGGTTCTATGTCGAAAACAGACAGACAGACTATTGGCAGTCACCAGTCAGCAAGGCGTATCTGCAACCACATTGAAGGAACAGCTCATGTCCCCCTCTTCTGAGATGCAAACCCGCGTCACCCAGTGTCGCCTGCAGTCAGAGACGTTACCACCACTGAGCCAGCTATTCGGGCTGGCTCGCGATTGACCTCCTGTAGGACTGTGTTGTAGTGGGTAGTTTGACTGAACACTAGTCAGTAGCTAGTGTCACACGTGTCTGGCTAGTCCTTTCTTTGGTGCAGACTGAATTCTGTCAGTTAGTCAATCAGGTTTGCAATGTGGCCACCATGCCACCAGGTGGCTAGCTCGCCACCATCTGTTTTATTACCTGGAATGTCAAGTTTTGTCTGTCTGTTTTCGACATAGAACCCCTTTGCACCAATGTGCATCAGTTCAAGTCGCCACACTCCCCCCATGTACCACACAAACCAAGAGACGAAAGTAAAAATGAGAAATGCATAATAGAGAGACAGTAAACAGAGGTGTGAGACAAAGGAACAGTAATAACGAACGAAGAACAATATAGTTTCATTGGAAATCATAAGTCACAAGGAGTGGATGCATCTGCACCAGCCAACCATTGAGAACGATCACTTTGAGCCATATCACCAATTGTTTCCAGCCTCCACTGGCTTTTACCATCTCGATAACCCCAAACAGGAAGTGCATACCTCACGAAGTGACTGGCTTAAACTAACTGTTGTGAATTTCATTGACTGATGAAGAAGCCATGTTTTGGTTTGACCGCCGCTAGCTCTCTTTTCCAGCCTGACCAATCATGTCAGCTAACATTGCCTATTGTCGAGGAAGACGATGACTAGACTCCCATGCGTAACACATGTCCTAACTATTTCAGTCGATGTGATTCCACAGCCTCGTCGATTGATTTCCCTTCCTACTTACCAAGCACTCGACCGACGCCTAACCTCAATATTTCCCACCTTATTATACCACCAACTAACACGGGAGATAGAACGCAGGCACCCATCATCGAAGACAGCTAGCCAGGCTTTTCATGTCTTCCACCCTTAATGGCCAGGTCTCACAGCCGGCCATAAAGGTGGACGGAGCAGACTGCTGAGTAGCACATCCAGCCCTTTGGTCGATAGCCAGTCAAATATCACGTCTACTCCAGAGATGGCGTAAACTAGTGGGCGTATGCGAAACGAGCCCCCTGTATCCGTACTCAGCTGAGATTTCGTCAGAGATCAACCCCTTGGCACTGGCTGATGGTACTTACTTCCCAAATAAGTGAAGCGGTCAACGCGCTCCACCAACCACTTCACTTCCTATTTCTAAACTAGGAGTCAATATAGTCCAGTCAGTCCTGTAACATCATCTTACATTTGACAGCAGTGGGAGCGAATCGCATGCCAAACATTCGTAGATTGCAGCTCAAGAATAACATGCACACAAATAATGCATAAAATCACTTTTCAAAATAAGTATTACACACACACACACACACAAAAGGATACGTAACATGTCGTAGAGATGAACAAGTGGTGGACGTTTATCGAACTGACGATGAAGAAGACGCGACTGAGCCTGGTTAATGATGAGTCTTGTCTGAGCCGGATGAACAAGATCCTGATAGTCTAAAAGAAGAATCAATACACAAAATGTGAAATTATTATTTAAAACAAAAAAACGTCGTTTGCAGTAGTGAACTATTTATCACGTCATTATTATTTTACATACATGACATTCGTTAGAAAAAAAACCCACCTACGATAAGAGGCATAATTAAAAAAAATTCACTTTATCCTACAAGACTAATCGACACGGCTCAGATGAATGTCTTGATGAAGAACTTAATAATATTAAACGGTTGCTGAGTGAAAATGGTTATCCAGAAAAGTTTATTGATAAGAATGAATATGAATCTAAAATCAAAGCAGCTCAAGGTACACCAACAGTTCCGATTCAAAGGAAGGCCTCATTCTTACAAATGCAGTCACTTCCTTTGGGACAACATCAGCGACTTAGAAATGAGGCGGTAAAAAGAGCATTCAGTGCTGCTGCCAAATCACGCTGTGTTTTCAAAACCACTCCTCATCTGAGTTTAGGAGTAAAAGACAAACTACTGAATTTCGCCTCTTCCATGTGTGTGCATCTACCAATTGAACTGCTCCTGTGAAGTGAGCCAGTCAGTTACCTGCATAGGCCGTGCACAATTAGGCGTGTTTCTCGTCGAATGCACAGTGGTTTGTTAAGTAAAGGACAGACAAAATCTATTCACATAGCGCTATTCTATCTCACTTATCATGTGGATACAGAACACAAGATCGATTGATGTTAACCAGGCGGCTTTCAGGGTCATTTACCTACCGCATACCAACCAACAAAGCTCAATTTCGCCTTGAGAGTAGTTCGACTACTAAATGTTTATTGGTGAGGCTGGCTGGCTGGCCGTTTGGGATCCATATTAACAAGCCTAATTTGTGTGCATCAAAAAGAAGTTGGTTAGTTCAGACATTATCCTTACCCGCTTGGTCATCCATCCAGGTTTGAATGATCCTGAATTTTTGTGAAATTTTCCTAATTTTAGTTAATATTCTATTTCCTACTATATCTTTATTATTATTATTATTGTAATTTAAGCATCTTTAATGAACTGTGGTGGTGATTCCATTGTGATCTTACTGTACAAATCGATATTATTTAAAAAACACGCCGATATTGTTATTGACTACTACTAATCTAGAATATTCTATGTATATAAACATGCATGCATATATAGATATAATTGTAGAGCGAGAAGAGGAGGAGGAGGAGGAATTTATCGAAAAGGGGATATTCTTTTGCTGACTCAATTGGATTTTGTGTTTCATAAAGCGTATAAGAAACGAACGGCCAACGTTAACATTTCTTATGGCTGTGCAAATTGTTCGCATTTCGTTTGAAATTTTACACCAGAAAAGAGAGAAGAAATAAGACAGCGCATTTGACATCCTGCCAAGTGTCATAAACTAAGGAAAAATAATGTGCTCTCCTCATCAAACACAACATATAAGGAGAGATAATACCTCTTTTGAACTGATTTTTCACATCTCCCTCCTATCTATCTAGATACAATCATGAAGACCAAGAAGCTTTTCAGCGTTGTAGAATTTGCAAAACTAATTTACTTTATGCAACTGATTTTAATTTTATCCATATATTCGATATCAGCAAATGGGTCTTCAGCGAATAATAATAATAAGCGATCCTTGTGGTGTTTTGTAATTTTTCTCGACATAGCTGACGAAATCTATTGACTGCCTTCATTACAAAAGCAATATGGAAAATTTGACACAAACCAACAAAATCACTTCAAACAACCAAGACTTAACAACGAAAGAAGATAAAAACCAACATCATCTACACAATAAATTTTAACAACTGCAAAAAACACTACATTGGCCAAAGTGGACAACGTCCCCTTCATCTTCGTCTTCGTATCCACGAACATAAACTAACTAACCGTCAAAAGACATGATATCCACTCCTTCATATCACTACATACAGACAACCACGGACATCAATTCCACTGGGAGAACCAACGTTCAAATATTAGACAGAGGAAACAACACCAAGAATGCTAGCCAGAGAATTTTTAGAAACCTCACTGGTATTCCAGTGAATCATCAATCAATAGGCACATGGAGATAAACAAAATTTATTAACCGATAAGAAAGAAACCTCACACACACACAAAGGGTCTAGTTTCAAGTCGAAGAAACAGTCAGTTCCAATGCAAGTAGCCACCTAGAGGGCATGAAAACACACGAAAACAACCAATCACGTTTAAGGTGGTCAATGACCAGGAGAGATGATTAATAAACTTGTCAAGAAATCTAAAAGCTCACTTCAAATTGAAGTGAGCGCTGAAGATGTCGCCTAGTAGGGTGATGAAAGCTTCGCAAATCAACTATCCATCTGCTCAGAGAATACAACCACATCAAAAAAAATGTCACTAAATCACAGATTCAGTGAATTTCAAAACTTTTGGCACTTCCAAAACAATGGTATTACAGACTCTTCAGGGACCTAATGCCTAAAATAGATTAATAAATAATGCGCATCGGTCATATACAAGCTTTTGTGCCACACATAAATTAGGGTATCGTTTTGTAGTAGGGTCAGTCAAATACTATTTTAACTAGCTTTGCATTGTGTAATGGCTCCAAAACTATTTTTTAGCTATCCTATTAGCTACGCAAATATCGATTGAATGCTGACAGTAGTTAGAACCAGTTAAGAAACTACCTCCTGCAATATAATATAATAATATCATTATAATACAATATAATATCATTACACCAGGCAAACGATTCACGGGGGCAATTAGAGGGATGAATTAATATATGTGTGTAAAACTTGGGCCCTGTGGCGGTGGTAGTAAGTAATTGCATATTAGTTTGTTTATTAGGTGTATCACACAAGAAAAATCTAAGACAGGAAGTCATACATATAAAAGAAGCCTTGAAACTTAATAACTACCCGGATAAATTAGTCAGGAAGTATGTAGGGAAATGTGAAAATAAAATAATGATAGTAGTCATAGTGATAATAATAATATTAATGACGACATGCATGTCAAACATGCGCAAGACAACACCAACAATAAGGAATCTAAATCATCAGTAGTAATTCCATACAAGAAACGGAACCACGGAATCCTTACAGCGGAGAATTCTTAACAAGGCAGGCAGGAATAAAAGTGGCTGGAATTCAGACCAACCACAAACTCAATTAGAAACAAGCTTTGTCGGTTAAAGGATCAATCCTGACGGTGGAGCCTTTAAAACTAAACAATTTAGTTTATCTAATCCCCTGCCTGCGATGATTGTCAGGTCAAATACATAGGTCAAAGTAATAGAACAGGGTCAGTGAGGTCAGACTAACCAAGCAGCATAAAAACGTAGCAGCGAAATCTAAATTGGTTCACCTGAATGATAAGAAATCTAGAGAAAAGTTCAGCTATCGCAACCACTACATGCAGTTACACATATCCTACCATACATAGGATAAGATGACAGTTTTAAAATCTAATGTCACAGGGTGACGAGTGGGGAAGATTGATAACAGAAGCTTTGTTCATCGAATCAACTGCAAACCAACACGTGTAGTAGGAATAATTCAACATTTATCCACCCAGATATCTGGAAAGTCCTGCTACTCCAAAGACCAAAACATGGCACCAGTCAATGTGATCCACAACAGTTAGTCTGAGCCAAGTAGGAAGGTGTAGACTGGCTTCCTGACTGGTTGGGGTCCTCGGGACGGTAAAAACTAATGAAGGCTGGAAACAATTGGTGATATGGCTCAAACTCATCGTTCTCAATGGTTGGCTGGCGCAGATGCATCCACTCCTTGTAACTTATAACACCCAATGAAACTATATTGTTCTTTGATATTACTATTCTTTTTGTCTCATACCCCTGTCTACTGTCTCCATTATGCATTTCTCCTACTATCTTCTCTTGCTTTGTGTGCTACATGGAGTGTGGCGACTTGAACTGGTGCACATATGTGCAAAGTTCTACATCGAAAACAGACAGACCAATGCCGACAAATAGGAGAGTGAACAAAGAAAACTATAAAATTCAAGTTTCGAAGTCGTGTGATTATAATTGGTGATGTGTATGATTATGGACAGCAATAATGAATTGTGCTGGAAACTTTGTCATCCATTAAATACTAATACTGTTTCACTGAGTGTGTGGTGATACGTCTAATAAACAAACTAGTATAGAAGGATGAATCATTATTGTAAAAGGCATCTGCAAGATACTGGAAGATATGATATGATATAAACAAACACATACATGATCGTGTCTTACAACCTGTCTCTCACAATCACGTAGTAGATACACACAGCCCTAGCATATACCCCAAAACCTCCAAAAATCAACTTAACAATGAGCACAAAAGGCCATTACATTTGTCTTAAAAAGTAGGTGGACACCAAACTTTATATATATATATATATATTATATAGTTTGGTTTGTAAGGGTTAGTTATGTTTTTACGAGTAGATCACGGATTGATATCAGTTAGAGAACCATTGAAAACCAGCCACAGGAAGTACTTGCAGAAAGCTGATTCATCAGCCTAGTTTGGGAATCATTCCGATATATCAATCCGTGATCAACTTGTAAAAACATAACTAACCCTTACAAACCAAACTATAGAAGATTAATCTGATGCTCGCCAGTGACTTGTTACAGCATGGAGTTTCCTGGAATCAATTCTAGTGAGAAATCGTGACCAGTGAGGTCCATCCATATGTCAAGTGTGAAGATGGATGTCCCACCGACGACATTGATTGGGGTCGCGCTAAATCATGAATTGGTAGAAGTTAGAATTCATAGACTGGCCATTGAGAAATCGGGTTCCAGTGGCTGAATGGTATACGAGCTTGCCTTGTAATGGAAGGTCCTGGGTTCGAGTCCCAGTAGGTGCATACTGCCGATGATTCCCAGCTGTCCCTGAGGCTGGTTTTCAATGGTTTTCTAACTGATATCAATCCCTGATCTACTCGTAATATATATATATATATATCATAAAGTCTGTTTTTCCTACATTATGTGCTGTTTTGAAGGATGATAGCCTGAACTAACTAACGCACTTTCCTACAAAGTTCTACATTGAGCTAGACATCGATTTCGCGATGATTGGTGCTTATTATTATCAGCTGGACTTCGGAGGTCACAGTCCAAAGATGTTTTCCTTGCTAGAAAACAGGCTGCAAAAGCAACTACCTATATATGTTGAGTAGTGTGTGAAAATCTATGACTAACTTGTCTGTTAGATATATAACGCATTATACATACTGAGGTACATACTACAATATCATGATTACGTAAGTGTATTTACAGAGATTGTATAAACAAATGATATGCGTTTAGAAATCAGTATGATTATAATAGTGCTTAAGATATTAATGGCTTGTTACCCGTACAAAAAATTAATGAAAAAATAGAACGGATCAGATGGAATCATTATTGTGTTAATCACAACTGATTCCTCCTTCCTATAAATGTGAAGGTCCAATCTCTTTGTTGGTCCGTAGCCACACCTGCTGATCTGACTCAATGGACATGCATATAACTTCACTTCAGTGTGCCTGTTTATTGTTAGTTGGGAATTAGGGGAAGTCGACCATAAAACTCAATAGCGCAATGTTTGCATTAAGTATTCATCCTCCTGAAGTTGCTATCCTCAGAACAGTTATTATTATTTAAACGCAGAAAAAAACTTGGCACAATATAGCACCAAGAAAGATGCGCCACACTGTGTGAGGGCTGAGATACTGCCCGCGCTCCCAGCACCGAAGTAGGTGGTTTTCTAAAGGGATCACCCCGCCCCCCTAGCCTTTGACTTGGAGTCTAATCTGCAAGGCAGCAGAGCAGCGTCAGGAGCTGCATTCTCATGGTTGCCGGTGACCAATATGGGTTCATACGCCATTTGATCCCATTGGATTCTGGAGCCAGTGTTACTCCATGGTACTCAGAACAGACATCATTTTGTAAATGTACGCGACTTAGCAATTACTATGGCTGTCTACAATATACCATCTACTTGTAAGGATTAACAAAAACTCCGATTGAATATGACTAATGGCGAGTAAATCCATGGAATTTATATTACAGTAGAGATTACACTTGTGACATAACTGGGGAGTAATAATTAGTATAGATTTTGTGAGGTTATTACAAAACAGTCACAGTGATTGGTGTTACAGTTTTACTGGACATATTCACCTATTTGGTTATATTTTTTTGCGAATGACATGGGGGCATTTAGTCAATCACAAACCGCTTCCAAAAAAAACTTAATTAATTTCGTCAAATATAAAAAGCTTAATTCAGAATTTACGCAGCACAGCATTTCCGAGGTGCGTAGTTGGCACAGAGGTAGAATGCTCGCCGAACAAGCAAGCATGTGGTTCGGTGTTCGATCCCCGGCCGACAAGGCACTCCTTTACCTCGCTAAGACTGATAAAGAGGGAAGGCTCGGCATGAGGCCAGAAGCAACCCCATCCCGTAGAAATAAATAACACTGCTACCGAAACTTCAAGTCTCTAGTTTGAAGCCCTATGTTCCATTGGAAACGTAAAGGAGTAAATAATAATAACCAACATTTCATCTGGAATCGACAATATGTCCTGTAATCGTGTTATGAAAAGAAGTTCGATATCGCCTACCGCAACCGTAAAGCAGGACTACTGCAGATTTATAATGTGGAATTACAGAGTGAAGGCAACAGCCTGTCGACCCTGAAACCTGTTATTTGCATTTAAGAAACTAAGAGGAATAACACTTCCATCAGTTCAGATTCACTTGAACTTAGGTGTCATAGTTAGCCACGGCTTAAAAACTACAGCACACTGTCGCGCGGTGGCTGCACGTAGTTTCAGATCCTTATGGGCAATTCGCAGAGCCTTTACTAGCTAGAATCACCAAAGATATGTTCACCTCCTTATATACATCTCTGGTGAGGTCAAGACTGGAAACCTGCATCCAGGCAGCCAGCCGGTCCTTGTCTAAAAAGGAATTCACACATTCTAAAAAGGGTTCAAAGGGAGACAACACGTATGGTTCTCGGCATGACTAATTTATCATACGAGGAAAGACTAGACAGTTTAAATCTCTTCTCCTTGTCATACCGTAGGCAGAGAGGAGATTGAATCACAATGTTTAAAATTCTAAATAATGACTACGGGGACCTGACCTATTCTCTCCGGAATGCAGATAATGATATTTTAAAAATATAGACATGTTCCTAGAATATTAATACAAATCATTTAAAATTTAGCCACCACAATAAGAATTTAGTGAAGCTAAAACACACACCACTGGGTTCACGTAAAGTATACCATTAATAAAGGGGACATGAAAACCTAGAGTATGAGTACCGACACAATTAAGCTTGACAATATATTACACATAATTTATAATTCATTCACTTACTCATCAACGGGTCTTTTATTAGAAACTTGATGTCCAGAATTCGCCATGGGAAATCAAGTGCTTCTGACATCAAAGTTAATGTGACCTAAAAAAACTTCAGCCAAAAACCACGCAAAACTTACACTGAATTCATTTGGAACAAGAAAATGGGCACGTCCATTAGCTGAAATAAAAGTTCGACTAGAGAACTGACAATATTTACTTATTTTTATTTTTCGGAATTGATTTGGTATTTGACTAAGGCTAAGACGAGTTTGGATCAAACTATTCAAATTTAATAAAACTTCTTGTTTTTCTTTTTCATTTATCGATTGTTCGACAACAGCACAATTCTTAGAAACCATAAAGGAATATTCAACTACTACCTTAATTGACTTAGGAAGACGAGTGTATCCTTTTTTCGTGAAAACCTCTATAGCACTAAGCACAGAAAAAGGAGGCAATCTGCAAACAAACAAAAAATTAGACGTAGTCACTGACTTACCTGGCACTGACAAGTGTTTCTCTGAGAAGTCTGGAAAGAGCGTTAGCTGTGCTAATTAAGAAGAATGTTTGTTCTTCCAAAAAGTTGGAGATTTTCTGGGTGACGTACGACATTAAAATTTTTGACGAAACAATACCTCACACTTGTCAACCTTCGATGCACTGTTGGACCATTTTACAAGTGCTTCAAGCCGAATAAATATATGCTGCGTTCGACTGAAGAACGTGGCAATCTCTATCTTTTTTTCAAGATCAGTTTTGCTTGGTAACCTGTTGAAAATATGAATTAACTACAAGAATACTCACAAATCAATAAGACGCATTAGATCTGTATACACTTTTTGCGAAATAAACTCAATGAGCACAGACAAAGGTATTGTGCCTACACTGAACCTGCTCACATGTTCCATTTCCGAACGTTCCGACATAGTTACGCACTCTTTGATTTAAGCGCTTCTTAATAGATAAGGAATTCCAGTCGTTGGCCACGCTGTGAGAGAATCTAAATTCTGCACTTATTTTAATCGTCCTCCGTTTGAGCAGCCTTTTTAAATGGCCTCATAAATGTATCTCAGAAGGGGAGAAAAGTTTAGAAAGGTCAGTTCATATATCACCCCTAAGTATACGGTATGCTAAAATTAAGTCGCCTCTCTTCCTTAGGTATGATAACGGGAAAAGATTTAAATGCTCCATCCTATTATCATAAGGAAGGTGTGTGATACTACTAACCAATTTCGTTCCTACCCTCTGTACTATCTCCAGGCTATGTGCCTCCTTTTTGAAGCATGGACTCGTCGCTTGTATGCAGTATTCTAGACGAGGCCTGACATATGTTGCGTGGAGTATTTAAAACATGCCCTCGTCTAATCGTTTGAAAGCCCTTCGAAGTGCCAATAGCATTCGAAAAGCTTTGGCTGCTCCTGCATTGTAATTTGAAGTTGCTTTCAGATCATTGCTGAAATGATTCCTAGGCCCTTCTGTTCGTTAACATCAGGTAGTTCTGTGTCAATATCAGTAAAAAGTTTGAGCATTGTGGATTAGATCCAATAAAGTATAATTATATTTTAATAGTTTATACACAATGATAAGTTTTGTTATCGGTAATTTTGCTCGAAATATTACCAATAACAAAACTTATCATTGTGTATAAACTATTAAAATATAATTATACTTTATTAGTTCTGTGTCCCCTAGGGAGTACGACGCATAAGACTTCTGACCTAAGTGCATTACCGTGCTTTTCCTAGAATTCACTTCCGAACTCCACAAGTTCAACCACTCAGCTAATTTACCTAGATCAGTTTGTAGAGCCGACCTCTCCCTGTTACTATTTACAGTTTTCCGTATCTTAATGTCGTCCGCAAATAATAATGAAGGTGAAGTAAGAATCCCAGGTAGTTAAATAACGCATAATAGGAATAGCAAGGGCCTATTACAGTTCCCTGAGCCACTCCACTGGATACCGGAGACCTAAGTGTGATACTTTAATCGAATGCCTTGCTAAGATCGATAAAAAACACGTCCAACAGAAGGTTTTTATCTCTGGCCTCAACCCAGTCATCCCCAGCCAGTAGTAGGTTTGTCAGGCACGATGGTCCTGGTCGGAATACAAGTTGTTCCACAGCCACCAAGCCGTGTGTTTCAACATAAGCCAATAGCTGATCCCTTTTAATAGTTTCCAATACCTTTGCTATAATGCATGTCAGACTTGCCGGCCGGTAGTTATATACCAATTGCCTGTCCTCTTTGTAGATAGGGTTTATAATGGCATCCTTCCAGTCTCTGGATAGCTTAGCCTGGGTCAGAGACATTTGGTACATCTCCGTAAGTGGAATATGCATCATATCCGCCAAGGAAATTAACAGTTTAGGGTGAAGTCCATCGGGCCCAGGTGACTTACCTGGCTTCAGTTTAGACAGTAGTTTTAGGACCTCTGTGTGCACTACCACAAGTGAGGGCATCTGAGTGGCGAGGGCAGTGATCTTGCCATATCCCTGGGTGATACGATCAGATGAAAGAACGTCATAGAACTATTCAGAGAGATTTTCAGCCTTTTCTACATCTGACTCAACCGCTTCTCCACTAATGCTTATGAGTAACTGTATACCACTGTTAGTTTTAGTCCTACGGTTAATATTTGAGTATAACCTTTTTGCGTAATGAACACAATCTAGTACTAGCCGTCTCTCGTACTCTATACGACTCTTTTTAATCGCATACTTACAGAAATTTCGAATTTTGCAGTAGTCTTTCGGGAAATTTTCCCTTCCTGTCATAATAAATTGGTCCCATAAGTTCTTTCACTGTCTTAATAGCCTCCTTATTTTACTAGTAATCCAAGGTGGCTTATGAGACAGCTTTAGAGGAGTATACCAAGGTATAAAAGGTGAAGTGACACGATCTAGTGTATTCCTAAATCCCACCCAGGCTTCCTCAGCGATCCGATTTGTATCAACTGACCAGTCAGCTGCAGTTGCTGCGTTCCGGATTCCCTGTATATCCGCTTTCTAAATATTTGGACGAGCAGATTTTGACCTGTGTGCGAGATAATGAATCTTAAACGCAAAAGCAATGACTATGTGTCCACTATGCCAAGCGGCGGAAGGCACCTAATGTTACTAGCGTCCCTCTTCTGATGTGTAAATATCAAGTCTAGAGTAGATGGATAATGCTCCGGGTGATATCGTGTTGGTGCATGCATATGTTGCACGAGTGCACATTCAAGCACTGTCAGTGTGAGCTCTTTATTGAAACAGGTGTACCAACCGGTGGAGCTTAATTCCCTCAATTAATATGTGGAGCACTAAAGTCGCGAACAACCAGACACTTATTCCTACTACTCAACACCCTGAAGTGATCTACAACGAAGTCATCAGCTTGGCTAGCAGGACTTCTGTAAATAACTCCGATCGTCAAAGTGCCTTTGTTCAAGCTAATGATTCAAATTGCGGCTTCACTGGTACCTCTGTCATGAGCTTCTTACAACGTTGACCTAATCCCTATGTCATCCCGGATGTGTAGACCAACTCCCATATTTCCAGCTACTTACTCCGTCTGCTTGAATGCAGATGTACCCAGATATGAGTGGAGTTAACTCTACAAACACTAATAACTATGTCTCAGTAATAGCAATCATATCAGGTTGTAGTCTTTCAGATAATTTTACTAATTTGGCGAGCTTAATCCTAGGATGACATGCGTTCGTGTAGCACACCGAAACAACTAAGTATTAACAATAAAAATAAACTATATTTTCATATAAACAAATAAATTTACATCAAAATACATGCAATTTTTCAGGCACGATCAAGTATGATATAATATCAAATTGTAGATTTTCTACAAGCTAATAATGCTTCAACAGCTAAGTTTTTGATATATATATATATATATATATAAACACCCGTTGTCTGAACCAGGCCGTCATCGGTCGCTGTTCAGAAAGAACCTAGTAAAAACTGTCAGAAGTAATACCTTGATTTATTGTTGTAATATTTCTTCTTAGACCTTAGTACGTAATACCAATAATGTTGGTTATATGCTGGTGTTAGAATAAAGAATTCCCGAGTCGCCAAACGGTGTTCTGGTTTTCGTCCGTTAGTACTAGGCGTTTCTGAAAGGCCTCGAGGGACAGCGTGAGGCCCAGCATAGCAAGTGCTGGGCAGTAGCGGTTTTTAACACATGATCGACAAATAAAAATATACTGATTGTCCGCACCAGGCTGTATAGTTATTGAATTGTACAGTTGTCCTCCAGGTTGAGCGGGAAAATCGACTTCGTTTCGTTTTCAACCCGTGGCCGTAGACATACGATAACCAACCAGCATTGAGGTAAGCACAACGTTTACAAGGGAGTGAAAGCTGTTTTAGAAAGGTAAAAGTGCTAAGGAGAATCATTAAAGTGTACTGAAATAAGTAAGTGCAAGTATCATTAATAAATACATTTATAAAAGAAATACGATGGGAAACCAGATAACTCCTAGGCTGACAACGTTGATTTGCAATGTATAATGCTACCCATGTAGGTCTCGCCATCATGATGTCCGCTTTTGCCTTTAATACAATTATTCTCAGGCCAGTTGTTTTATTTCATACCTTCATGTCTTTTTGGTGCACAAACGTACCCTACAGAGAATACGAATAGAAAAAGCAGAATCAAATTCATAAAGAGCTATAAAGTGTTAGGTTTAATGGAAAGTAATGAGGACCAAGTGAAGAGGTTACTAGAAAATGAATGAGATAAGACATTGTGAAGTGGTATTCATAGATCCGACAATGGATAGCAAGTTAATTTATAAGATACCATATAAATCTGTGCAGAGCCCACGTGGTCACATCTCAACAATAGGCTAAGCGAATGGTTTACATTTAAAGGCAAAGGCATGATCTATCTAGGCGTTCATTATTATCTTTTTCAAGATAAAGATCTAAGCCCTCAGAAAAATCTCGAGCCGTCAAATTGCATATTGCTGTTCCTGCAGAATGGGGCGATTCACCTTAGTGACCACTACCATATCTACTGATAAGCTAGCGCCACCCTCCCTCCTTTTATGATGTTAGGCTCCGAGAGTATGATTATTATGGCTACCGCAAATATATTGCT